CTCCCTCTTGTTCTCCTCTTTCTCCCACACAGCCTCTCAATGTTTAGTCCCCATCTAAGTGGCAGTCTAACATTCATAGACCTATGCAACAGCCAGCCATCTTTTTACAGATGCGGGGATGCCAATGCCTCTGGCACTCTTCTTCCTCTGACGGTTGGCTGTTTTAATGATATCAAGGGTAATGGTGCCTGATAGATAGCAAATGCTACATTAACTAACAGTCCTAAAAACACTGACTCAATACACGAGGATGTGTCGAGTGCCGTAGAGTGCAAGAAAATGATGTGAAATTTGTGCATTTATTATGTCAGGTTTTTCATTTATGTGCCCAGTAATTTTAACGTTACTTTTATGCAATTTAAAATTGGCACCGTGTAATTTTGTTCGCTTGTACCACTAAAAGGGGCTTCTATCAAGTAATTGCATAGTGATTTTACCTTAAAAATGTACTTCCTGTTAATCTCCTGTTGGTCAGCCATCATTAGTGAGACCTTACAGAGAGCATGCTTGCTGTTTAGGAGACAATGTTGCACTGCACCATTAGTTTTAATTCATCAGTTGTCACTGTGCATGAAGAGGATTATCTTCCAGTGACCAAACTGACAGAAAGTAATAATAATTTGCAGAAATAGGGTAAATACACAATCTCTCCTCTGCTGCAGTCCCTCTTCGTATTTGATACTAGAAGAGCATTTTTGTTGAAAATGGAATTTAGCTTCAGATAAAATAGTAGAATGTAAATACAGTGAGGTTTTTGGTTTTTTTTTTACTATATGACATTTTGCCTTTGTTTTGGTGAGGGGGAACCTGCTGTATCTGGTTAGGTTTGAGAATGGAAGTGACAGGTCATGCAACAACACCAGTCTCAAGTTTCCCTTAAACCTGCAGAACTATTGGAAACTCCTCAGTCTGCTGCCCTGCCCAGCTTCATGTGAAAATAATGTTTTGAGGTACTGGGTACTCACACTGCACAGCACTGATGAAAACGCGCACTGAAGTGTTGGATGCAGTTTGGGCTGGTATTTTAATGAATAGTGAATAATTGAACAGAAATCTTCCATCCTCTTTTGGAATTTTAATTTTTTTCTCCCATCAATCCTCATGAATATAGATGGTGATTTGTTTGCAATTACCCTTGTGTATCTGACAGTACAAGGCATGCTTGACTCAACACAAATTTGTTTTTTATTGATGCTCTCGTATGAAAGATAAGGCATACATATTGATAATTCATAGAGAAGATGAACATGTCGCTTGTCTACTATATGGCCCATTAAGCCTACTCTGGACTAAAATGCCTTCAGGTGTTAGTGTCTGTTTTAAGCTGATTGTAGAGTGAGTGTGTTTCTATGTCTGGTTAAATACAGACTTTTCTAAACTGAAGTAAATGTTTTATTTCCATGTCTATGTGGTTGCTAGAGCTGATCTGTAATCTTTAGCTTGCTTTCCTGCTAGCACACCTGGTGAGGTTTGTGACAAGCGTATTTATATGGGCGCAAGTGTGTGGATGCTTGTGCACACGTGTACATGCTCCCACACCACGGCTCAGTGGCTGACATGTTAGACCAGAGTCTGATTGGATTCCACGCTCCAGAAACATTAAACCCAGTGACTCATAGAGAAAGGTTGGAGTGAGGTGTGTGTAGGTGTGTGTTTGTGTGTGTGTGTGTGTGTGTGTGTGTGTGTGTGTGTGTGTGGCTGTAGTGTCTCTGTCTTACATGTGTATAAATATATCTAGATATCTAAGCACAAATAGATCCAAATGTCCACTTGTGTGTAAGTGTGTGTGCATCTGTTTAACTGTGTTCAATAGAGATTAGCTTCTGTGTCTTTTCCTGTTTGTTTGTGTGCGTGTGTGTGTGTGTGCATAGTTGCTTGCTTTAGACTAGTCCATGCTGGGAAGAGAGTTCAATTGTCCTTCAGATCAAGGTCAATGAGCTGTGCCCTATCTCCCTGCTCCATCTATTAGCTGTCCAGTAGAGGGTCTGGGGATGGATGGATAGAAAGCTTTGACCCCAAGTTAAACACAATCACCTGCAGGTGGGGAAGGTTACTGTCAAGATGTAATCAGTTACAGATTACTGATTACCTATTTAAAATTGTAATTGGTGGAATAATCCATTGGATGGATGTGTTTAATTAACAATCAGGAGTCCAGCTCTGTAACACAATCTGATTCCTCTCAACTTACTTACTTTGTTTGGGCTGAATATAGTTGGATTTGTGACACTTATGGATTACAGTTTCAGAGTGTGTTGACTGTGATACTACCATATCTAATCTGTTACTGTGTGCTCCTCTGAGCACCTGTCTCCTCTCCAATCTTCCCCTTCTCTGTTCCTAAGGATTGGCTTTGGCCTGTGCTAACCGAGAGTGCGGCTTCACTAACTGATCGACCAAAGTGTTCTTGGTGTGTGTCAGCTTTGACAGGTGATAGGATCAAGAGGCTGAAGTAACACACAGCTGAAGTGGCTCTGTGGTGTGTGTGGTTTTAAGAAATCCATCCTGGAAAACAGCAAACAGCAGAAGGTTATATATGTTGATGTTTCAGGGCTGATATATACTAATATTTTTTTCATCATAATTTAGATGCAATACAGCAAATTCCACCATCTCCATGTCTTCTGCAAAGTATGTATTTACATTGCAACCCATCCCTAACCCTGATTCCTAGAGGGGAATCTTCTGGATTGTCTAACAGGACAACAGGGAATTCCTCTATTCCTGAACAGTGCAGACTTTCAGAGGTTCTTGTAATGGCAGGGGACAGAAGTGAAAGGCTTTGAATATGTGATTTAGTGAACCCACAGAAAAAATAACATACACAGAAAGCAAGTGGGTTTTGGTTTGCCAACAATTCACTTTTAACTATAGTTTAACAATAATTTACATTGATTTACTCCCAGTAAAGGATCATGTTTAAAGTCATCAATGACCTGGTTGGTTATATTAATGAATAATGCCAAGGATCAATCAGAAACTCTGAAATGCCAAAAGTACCATATATACAAAGAGTTCACAACTATTGTGGAAAAAGTTTTTTTTTTTTTTTTTTTACCATAATATGACTTTTGTGTACCTGTAGTATATACTTAATATTTCTGTTATGATTCCATATAAATCAAGTTTCTGTGTTCTTGTATCAGAGTGACAGAAACAAAGGAAATGTGTATTGATCCACATTTGCCAATAAAAACCTAAAGCAGAAGAATAGATGCCATCCCAAACCTTCTTGTAACTCTTGTAGGATGTTATGGAAGAACAGGTTCAATGCAGCCTTTGAATTGTTCCTATGAATTTCAAGCTAAGGTTGTTTTTTATCTATGAGACACAAATTCGATTAACTACAAGCCCCCCGCCTGTTCCTACATCAAAAATAAAGCTGTTCAGAGCAAACAATTTTTTGCAACTCAGTATCCCAATGGACACCACACTAACTAGCTTCTTATCCTGGCCTTGCTGTTTGTTGGCTGACCAAGCTTTCTGCTTTAATGAAGTCTTTAAAGCATACAAAACAATGGTGTTTAGTCTGACTGGCAACTCATAATCATCCTCTGGGATGAAGCAAAATATGTTTAGAATTTTCAGAAGCACAGAAAGTATTAAAATAATCACTTTATAACTTTGCCCAAGTATTTGTTTGCACAAACACCTTATGTGACCCCCAAACCACATAAGCTTCTGCCGGGATGCTGCTGATGTTGTTTATGTGCTCATGTTAATTAAATTACTTAGATCTGAGTGGGGATGATTAGCATGTAGCACTAATAGCTAGCAGGGAATCCAATAGCCTATTATCATAATGAGTCCCTTTTGGCACACTGTGTGGGTAGGTAAAAGAGAGAGAGAGAGAGTGAAGCGGTTACGTTGGTCGCCCAGAGATGAGAGTTACATCAAAGGAGAAGTGATTTTTTTTTTTGGTTTCTTTTTTTTTCTTTTTCGAATATATTTGTCCAACCTGTCTGGAATTAGTTAACGGATATGGATATGGCAAAGAGGAAACAAGCAGTTTGCCAGTTAAACACAAACACAACAACCAAACACTTACATACACCCTCACAGATTACTAGAAACTTTAAATATTATTCATCATAGTTTTTGTGATTTTTTTTTTTATTTTGAAGTCTTGAGATACTGTAGATGAAGAAATAAACACATGCACAGACAATATAAACAGTCTCCACAGGTATTTCTGTACAAACATTCCCACACACATACTTACTCACAAAGATACTTGTGAAGGGGGTTTCTGCACTGCGGCAGACACCTGCAGCTGTGCCCCCACTCTGCTCATTATACACCTTTTTTCACATACTGGACTTCTGCTGCACATATGCTCTCGACCTTGTGCTTAATATGGTTTGATGTCACGTTTATTTAGTGTGTTTAAATGTAAGAAAGTTTGCATTTATTGATTCAAGGGTGTGTTTTTCTTGAATAATACATAATCTTTGCTTTTCCCATGAGGCAAGTTTATCTGTGTTTTCTTTTGGCTCTTTATCCCTTTTTATTTAAACAGTTACTGCTCCTCAGCACCATGCACAAGCACCCGTTTGACTGTAGATCAAACTCTTTCTTTTGCTCTCACCAGATGCCAAACCCCCAAGAGCAAAGGAGAGAGATATGGAATTGCCCTGTGCTCATTAACTTTAGATTTTAGCACCAACACTGTCTTTCGTTCCATCTCTAGAGAAGAAGAGGAAGACATATCGCTGCATATATTCCCACTCCCCCTAGGAGTTTGAATATATGCAGTGATAAGTTAACTATAGCCGACCTCTAACTCACATTTCCTCTCATCTAGTGCACTAATGTCTGCTTCCAAAAAGAGTTCAAGAGTTTTATTTGACGGCTGACTTTAGCTTTTTATATTCATTTACAAAAGATCTCCTGAGTAATAGTATATTATATACAATCAATAAGGATAATAAAATGAAATAAACATGTCTCTCAGAATGTTAACCTCCATTTTTCATCCACCTGTCCTTTTTGTCCTTTAGATGCCAAGGCTTGCCCCGCCAAAGATTTCCAGTGCCGTAACGGGAAGTGTGTGGCACCTATCTTTGTGTGTGATGGCGACGACGACTGTGGGGATGCCAGCGACGAGGAGAAGTGCACGGCCCCCACCTGCGGCCAGCACGAGTTCCGCTGCAATGACTCTGAGTGCATCCCCGCCCTGTGGAGTTGCGACGGCGACCCGGACTGCAAGGACAAGTCAGACGAGTCCATGGAGCGCTGCAGCCGGAGGACGGAGCCCCAGAAACCTCGCTGCCCAGTGGGCGAGTTCCAGTGTGGGAGTGGGGAGTGTGTCCATATGAACTGGAAGTGCGATGGAGATGCAGATTGCAAGGATAAATCAGATGAAGCAAACTGTTGTAAGTCAACCGTGCATATAATGTCTGTTTATGTGGATGGAGTGGCTGGATAACTGAAAGAATAATGCTGCTGTTGTTTTAATCATAATCAAGAAAAGAGGCCAAATGTATCCTACCAGCAAGAATTGAAACAACATGGTGTTGTTTCAGAATAAACTAGTAACTAATAGGCAATTAATGAGTACCAGCAATAATGGATGATGTGTTGTGGAACAACAGCTATGTGTGTGGCCCACCACTACTGACAGAATATACTTCAAAGGATGACATACCGTGTGTTGCGAACAAAGACTACATGACAAATCTTGTTGTGCCGCCAGAAATGATTGAAGGATGATCAATGCTAACTTTATCACGATGATCCATGAGTGGGTTGCCATGCAACCATGTGATCTGTCGAAGCAGAAGGAGAACCTCTGAGTGTGTTTGACCATATGAGTTTTTTGCGTGAGTACGTCTGTGTGTGCGTGTGCGTGTGCGTGTGTGTGTGTGTGTGTGTGTGTGTGTGTGTGTGTGTGTGTGCGTGCATGTGCATGTGTAGGAGGTGAAGGTCCTTCATCAAGCGAGACCCCCATCTGGTCCCCTCTTCACACACCCACACACCACTCTGGGAGATGACAGCAGCCTCGCACATACAACATGATCCCAGCACACAGCACTGCCACACACACACAGACACACACACACACTTTCACATGTCAACAGACACATGTATACATGGAGAACATACCTGTGCTTACACATACAATCACAGATATGCAGTATTTCCATGCACATATAAATCCTGGAGCTGAAATAGTCATACAATCATAGAGGGTTGGTACAGTTCATAAAAGTCCCTCCAGTCTGACATGATCACTATAAAAGTGAATAACCAGACATTACACAGCACAAGCAGTTATTACAATGTATAGACCATTGCACATACTGTATAATAGTATTCCTCAAAACATTCCCATCTTCCCATTTATTGCATGATGGGCTAGGTGTTAATGTGAATATCATATGACAAGATTAAGAACAATATGCAAGTGAGCATCACACTCATAGCATTAAGGCAAAATCTCTTGATCTATTCATGAAGGATAAGAGATGATTGTCTCTACAATGTGATTTATGGTTTTCTAGTTCTGTAGAACAATCTCAAATTAAATCAAATATATTAGTTGCTAATTTAAAAAATATAAGGCTGTTTTGGTAACTCTTTATTCTTACATTTTGTTAGATATGTGAGAGTGATAGATGACTATTAAGTGGTTTCCTGAAATAATTCACCCTTTTAGGGCTTTTGTTCTTGCTTGAGACTACCTTAAGTATTTTTACCTTTTAGTTTTAGTTATAATAAGCTAATCAGGTTGCCAAATTATATGTTTTTAAAAGCTATAACCAATTTGCTAGCTAGCTTGCTAAACTAAGATGTAATTAAAATTTCCAGGTCAATGTTTCCAGGTCTATGAATAAGTCTCTATTTGGGAATAATGCCATTAAAACATAGACACAGTAGGTCTAAACAAAAACAAACCCAGTAGTATAATTGAATGATGATGACTTCTGACAGTGACAGCAAGTGAAGCAGTCTTGTCTGGTCTACATGTGCCAGTGGAATCATCTGTCTCAATAACCATATTTACCATTTCACAGATATGATGAGACGGGAGATGTGTATACTATATGTATTTGATTCGGTCTGTGTGCATGCTCATCACACTGTGAATAAAAATGGGCGGTTGGAGGTTTGTGTCAAATAAGATGTCTGTGTAATGTAAATGAGCTAGCAGAGCTCAGCTTAGGGAGGTGCAACATTTCAATGTAAATTAGAAATGTGAGAATCATTGCATATCTCCAGTTTGTTCTCTCCTCCCCCTCCTATTCCATCAAGATGTGCTCGTCCCCTGGTTATTATCTCCCATCTTATTTGAAACATCTGTCTCAATAATCTTGCGTTATTTCACAGACATGCTGAGACAAGCCACTGTGAGAAGGGTGACAGGAGGTTAATGTAAATGAGAAATGGTCAAATTGTATCTGTGGTTGGTTCTCTGCTTTCCCACCTGCCAACTTTTCTGCAGATGGCAATCTGTTATTATAACTATTCATCCTGGGGATTTATCATAATTAGCTGAGCTCAGATCCCAATCATTTGGCTGAAAGAATCAGCACATTTTGTGATGGCACAGGATTATGTCTTCCACATTTTCCCTTTTTTAGCATTAATATGTTATCTTTATTTTTAGTTTGAGTATTAGAAGTCTGAGTCAGCTTCCCTGTGTGTTCATGTATGTGCACATGCCTTGCTGCATACATGTATTTGATGTATCTGTACAGTATGTGTCTGCTGACCAACAGGACATGTGTAGATTTGTGGATGTGCACTCACTTGGTGTCCAGCAGTGTGTGTGGCTGTGTTTTATTCCATATTTCCCGATACACTGATTGTGTTCCACGCACTTTTGTGGCCTCCACAGCCATTGATCATTTCTGCCTCCATTCCCTTGGCAGAGCCAGTCCAAAACACAACACATGAATAATTAAACAGCCAGTTAAAAAGACGAATGAGTTAAATAAACCTGCCCTCTGCTGTTAGAGCAAGCACAACAAGTTCCCATACACACTTACACACACACACATACTCAATAGGTCACTGGATGTGGGTTTTCCTCAGACAGTGAATGAATACCTGCCTGGTTTTCATTTCCACTGGGGCTTTTTCTGTGCAGGTTAGAGTTGTGTATAACTGATTACTGTTGGATTGGAGTGCACTCCAAGTTGGTCTGATGAAGCAAAACCCATACTGTACACACACACACATACGCACATAGATACAGTTGAGAAAAGACATTCTGGGCTGAATGTTGTGTATATGTGTTGGTGCGTGTGTTGTCTTCAACTTTACAGTGACACATAAAATGAAAGAGTGAATGTTTACGAGTGTTTTAGAGGGCTAAATGTTTTTATTTCTCCATCAATGACTGTGTAATTTTAAAAATGTAGGTGTGTTATAAGCCTCTAGCTTTGTGGTCAGATAATTCTAACATTAATTGTGTGTGTGTGTGTGTGTGTGTGTGTGTGTGTGTGTGTGTGTGTGTGTGTGTGTGTGTGTGTGTGTGTGTGTGTGTGTGTGTGTGTGTGTGTGTGTGTGTGTGTGTGTCCCACAGCCCTGTTTACTTGTCGACCTGATGAGTTCCAGTGTGGCGATGGATCCTGTATCCATGGCACCAAACAGTGCAATAAAGTTCACGACTGTCCGGACTACAGTGATGAAGCTGGTTGTGTCAACGGTAAATGTCAGATGAATATATGCGGTTGCAAACAACTTCTCACAAACCTGAATCATATTCCACATAGATTACCAGGAAGTCAAATGTTGTTTTTCCATCTGAATGTTAAATATTTGCCCCTAGAAAATGCAATCTTCAGCTTCATGCATTTTTTTAGTCTATTGTCATATTTGATTCGCCCTAAAAACTATTTCTAATTACAACTTGAATACTACGAACAAGATTCACAGGGGATGTCAGGAAAGTAGCACAGATGGCTGTAGTTGGCTGCGCTAGTTGAATCAGCCCCATGAGAAACTGTTTAAAGAAGTTATTTTTTGCACTGCTAAAGCAACAAACAAAGCAATGAGAGGAATGCCCAAAATGTCCGTATTGAAATGTCAGTTTACATCTTCCTTAAATCTCCTTTTACATATACAATAAATTACTACAATGAAATGTGATTGTGGACAGCAAACAAGTTATAGTGATATTTTTACTCAACAACCAGTTTGCATCTTGTGTTGCACAGAAAAGCTCAAGGTCATCATCAGACACTCTACCTGGCAGCAAACCTTATCTTGAAGGCAGTCTTTTGGAGTGCAACTGTGAATCTGAAATTGATTTTTTACTGTTCACAGTTTCCATAAATGGCACAGTACATTACATGTGTGCATGCACCTGTACGTGCATGTACTGTACAGCTGTGCCTGTGTTTATTTCCGTGGCTGACATAAAACATTCTAACTGTGACACTTAAGTGGTGTATGTTTTAAATGATGTTTCAATTTTGTGATATTGCAGTGATAAAAACACAGCCGTTTTTTATTATTTGTGAGAGCTTGCAGTTATTTCGAATTCTCGCACAGGAAAGGTTAAATCACAAGAAACACCTGCATATCACCTTCTAAAATGGTTTATGGAATTTCTTACCTATGGGCTTCTCAGGCTTCTCTGTGTATTGCTCTCAACAAGTTCTACCAATTAAAATAGCATCTTTAACCTTACACCTATAACCCCTTATCTATATATAAAGTAGGTAGTGATAACTAATTTGTTTGTTTATTAAGCACTGCCTGGCTGTCTATATGCACAACCAATGGTTACAGTATTGCTGTACCTACCAAAACCTTTTGATACACACTCCCACTGGATCTGACCTCCATAAAAATTATCATATATTAGCAATTTGCTTGGAATACGCATTTGGCTCAGGGTTTGTTTAAGACACCTGCTTAAGTCACTGCACACAACATGTTTCTAGCTGAACAGAGATGTAGTTACGAAAGTAAAAACCTGATTTGTAACTTTATAGTGTGTTGTGTTTTCACTACAGTTACAAAGTGTGACGGGCCAAAAAAGTTCCGCTGCAAGAACGGGGAGTGTATTGACAGCAGCAAGGTGTGTGATAATGTGAAAGACTGCAAGGACTGGTCTGATGAACCCATGAAGGAGTGTGGTAAGATCATTTCTCTCTGTTTCTCTTCACGCACAAAAACACCTATATACCCAGATACTCATTAGTCCTTTTGCCACCTCAGGCATATACATAGATGTACTGCTAGTGTAATAGCACTGATGCATTCACGCATACCCAGGGATCATGAACTGCTTCTAATGTGGGTGGTAACTCCTCTTAGTAAAAGGAGCTTCATTTGATCAAGGCAGGGTAAATCCGGACATTTCTCAACTGCCTTGTTATGATCAAAGAACCAAGCGCCTCTGCCCTCTAGCGTGATCTTACCACGGGAAAACGTGACCTGACTACACTTCCCATAAGTAACCACACAGATCATCCTGACATCATTGATAATTACAACTTATTGAGCTTCAGTGGCGGATCTCACATCACAAGCATTGCAGTCCAGCAGGAAACAGGGGGCACCTGACAAAAAAACATACCTGTTAATAAAAATCTTTTATGTAAATGTAGCTCATGTAACTGTAAGTACTGTAATTTGTGCTGTATGAGTGAAATGTTACTCAAGTACAGGCACAAGCAGAAGACTCTGCACTCACGGTCTTGCTCTGAGTGGTCTCATGCCAGTCACATGGGTATAAGATGATATGTGAGTGTTCTGCCCTTTCAGCTTGCTCTGATCTTGAAGCAGATGGATATACACTGTAATGAGATTGCCCTGTAACCATATCATTAATGTTAAACATGATGTTCAGCATGTCTCAAAGCAAACCTGCACTTCCTCTTTGCTTTTAGCTATAGCTGACAACTGCCATTATCTGCTTCATTGAGAATGTGATAGTTCCTGAACCAAGGCCAAAGCAATGTAAAAATTGATAAAAAATGACCAGTATATTTGGTAGGGCTGCCCTAGTCCATAGTCATAGCAAGTTTATGTTATTAATTTAAATATTTAAATGTGTAGAATTTAACAACCACCTGTTAAATGATAACAAAAAACAGTAATGAATCAGAACATGTCAGAGCAACCAGCAAGTAGACTAGTGAGTTCATTTATTTGAACGCAGTGTAACATCACACCCCTTAAACATGGAATAAATAAGTTCCAACTTCACAAAAACAAATAAATATTGATACGATGGATGATGTGTAAGCTTAACAGTTCGGCCTACTTACAAATTAACTTGCTACAAACTCACTCCTCTTCCTCCGTTTGATGGCTCTCCTGTCGTTGCCAAGCTCCTCCTCAACCCTTCAGACAGCAACCTGTTTGAAGAAGATTAGAGCAAACTCCCAAAACCCCCTCTCCTCTGTCTAGCATCCCTTCTCGTCAGCCATCTCGGCTGCGCTCAACGATCCATTTTCCCTGACACTCCCAGCCTCCATCCACCAACAAGTACAACACCATTGGGCCTTCGCCCCCCAGCAGTTACAAGGGAAGACCATGTCTTCGGCGTCTGAGGGACGTTGCTCCTTCCAGGTGCCTCAGGCAAATCCACTGTGACCTGATTTCACCTCGCCATCTCTCCGACCTTCTCTCGGATCCAAACATATCAGAGACAGTCGCTCGCCTTAAGCGTTCAATCAACCGCCCTCGGCCCCCTTCCCAAGGGCGTTGGCAAGAAAGGCAGACCAGTCCTCTACCAGGGCGGGGGGATGGTCTGTAATAACTTCAGTGACCTCAGATCCAACATCTCAAGTTGCCGTTTTTCTCCACACCTGCTCCTTCTGCAGTGGAGCTCATGCAGGATTGACTAGGTCCCCATAATCCAACTAAGCACAGCTTGTGTAAGTATCTGAATACACCAATCAATATCAATACTCTCGCCACCGTCTTAAAGAATCCCCCAGATCGATAGTTTGTTAATTACCTTTCACACACAGTTTTTACCAAGGTTTGCAGGTCATGTCAAATTCCTCCTCCACATGCCACAACTTGCAGTCAGCCACCGTCGAGCCTGACATAGTTGATAAACTCCTGGATAAAGAAATCAGAGATGCATTCATGATCTGTCCATTTCCCAGTCCACTGTTCGCTACATTTAGAATCAGTCCAATCAGAAAACAGACTGATCATAGACGTCTCATCCCCCCATGGCTCCTCAGTCCAAAGCATCAATAGCCTAATTCCCAGCCCAGATTTCTTCATGCAATATGCAACAATCGACCATGCTATGTCCCTCATTGTCTTAGCTGGCCAAGGAGCCTGGTTGTCCAAGGCAGACATCACCAATGCTTTTAAAGTCTTTCCCATCCACTCCAACAACTGGCATCTCTTTGGCGTTTTCTGGAAGAGTGATCTGCTTGATCTTGACAAACAACTACAAACTCCCATACATCATCCATCTCCTACATGACTTTATCACAGTCACACCATCATCTTCTCCCCATCATATGGTCTCAATACTCCACTTTCAATGAGCTTGGAGTTCCTCTCTCCCCAAAGAAAACAAAGGGTCCCTGAACATCCCTGGAATTTCTTGGTATTATCCTTTACTCCGTCTCACTCCAAGCATCACTGCCCACTGAGAAAGTCCATCGGATTTCCTTCCTCATTTCAAATTTCCTCCCAGCTCACAGATGCAGTAAACGACAACTTCTCTCACTGCTCAGCCACCTCAATTACACCATCTGCATCACCCCCAAGGTTGATCTTTCTTGTTACACCTCCTTTCCATAGCCTCCTACGTCCCATCTCTCCACAACCATGTCACATTGAATGATGCACAATTTGGCACCAGTTCATCTCATCATGGAACAGAATTTCATTATTTTATGATGACCACATCACCAAGCCAGGAGGCATCCAGCTATTCTACTTACAGCTACTTTGGCAGGAGGTGGTTTATAGCCAAATGGTCACCTGAATTCTCATCTGTCTCTTCTTTCTTCACCATCTGTGCAATTTTCCACCGTCATCATAGCAGCTATTCTTTGGGGTCACAAATGGTCCAAAAAAATCATCTCCATCCACTCCGACAACAGCTCCGTCATCTACTAGACTACATCAACTCCAGGCTAACCAGCAGCGCTTCCCCCCCAGGACCCTCTGTTCATCACAGAGACAGGCAAAGTAGCTACACAAAATTGATTTCATCTCTACTTCCGCCAAATCCTGTCCAGATCAGGAATATCCCCAGAACCATACTCAGGGCATTCCTTTCGTCTCAGAGCCGCCTCCACCGCTTCCAGGCAGGGAATCCCAGATAACATCATTAAACTCCTTGGCAGATGGTCTTCTCCAGCATATCTTACGTACATCCGTAATGACCTGAACAATATTAAAAACGCCCACATTTATCTGTCGATTTGAAGTTTGTTTGGGGGCTCTCGAGAAGAAATAAGAAGAGACGGCTCCCACACTCTCATCACCCATTTGGTTCCCTCCCACCATCTTGCTAAACTCCTCCCTCCATCCATCCATTCATCACAAACCAAATTTTTCCTCCATCCATTGATCCCTCAACCCTACCCTTCATCCCACGACCTTCATCCCTTCGTCTCTTAATCCCTCAACCCTTTACTAATCCATTTATCCCTCCTATATTTTATCATATTGGTTCACATTCATCCATTATGTGCAATAAACCTTAATAATTCCATACGTTAATCTGCGTACGTCCTCTCAGGGTTTTCATGTTTTCACTTTTTGTACTTTAATATTATGTTGATTCTGAGCTGATGTTATCTGATAGATTGCACTGGCTGTACTATAAATTACAACCTGAATTTTAGTTAAATGTCTTTACTTCCTTCTTACTCTCTGTCAGTCTCTCTGAATTTCTATTCTTGTTGTTTCGCTCTTTTCTCTTCCTCTCTCCCTCCCAGTTTCCCTGTCTCACAGCAGAACCTGTCGCCTTGAAGCTTAAATCTTTAATGTAAACCGGTAATGAAGTACCAGCTTTAGATTTATGCAGCGACCTCTCTCTACTCTCTGGAGGGTAGTTGAGAGACAAAAGAATGAAAGGAGGCACGTAACAGATACAAAAAAAGGGACGTACTATAGAGGAAGCATGACTGAAAGGGAGTCCAATCTGTTGTGATAAAAAAAACAAGGAGGAAATGGAGAGAATGAGATGAGAGGGTGAAGGACAGCATGTGTAACAATAGGCATCATAGTGGAGTAGCACCTGGCACACGTGGCCAAGCTCCCGGTTGGGAAATGGATTGTTTCCAGGTGTGTTTGGCTAAGTCTGTCCCTGTACACCCTGAACACATACACAAGCAGGTCTTTGAATATACTGTATACACACACACACACACACACACACACACACACACACACACACACACACACACACACCCTTCTTGATGTGTATATAGACATACTTTACTAAATCATCTTAACTGGCATGGTGATTAAAACTATGCATAAGCACAAACTGTGCGTGTCCAACTTTTCCTTTGTGTCTTATCCAGGCTGAATTGTTCTGTCCAATAGCCTACTGCAGTTACTTCATCAATATTCAACTTCTCTTTACTTTCCTCCCCTCTTGTGCCTGTCTCATCTTCTGTCCTTCCTCCCTACTCTCCCTCTCTCTCTGCAGGCCTGAATGAGTGTGCAGACAACAATGGTGGCTGTTCCCACATCTGCAGGGACCGGAGAATTGGTTATGAGTGTGACTGTCCCTCTGGGTACAAACTCCTGGACAAAAAGACTTGTGGAGGTAAAAAAAGAAGTTATGCGACAAAACTAGTGCTTTAGTGCAGAAGACCATAACTAAGGTACAATCACACCTTTTCTAGGTCTGGCCAAGTTGCACTGTTGCTATTTCTTTTCTGCTCTCCTCTGCTCTTTTTGGCTCTGGGAGCTCCATGAGAGTTTAATAGGGTTACTACTATTAGCAAACATTTTGGTAAAAGGGACATTTTGACATACCTTATTGGGAAACTTGTTTTTCATTATATATTCAAAGTCAGTTTCATTGATCTGCGTCCAGTAAAGGACGAAGTCTGGGACGTGACTTGAATCTGGCATATTTACTTTTAGTATGTTTATTAAATACACATGGAAATATAATTTGAGACATTGTGGATTTCTGGAGCAGTTATAAGTTTGATATCATGACCAACAGCTACTGGATGTAACTGTAGTTTGATTGCCAGGTCCAGATTCTTGGGTGGAACACCATCCATGATGGCAATATTATGGTTTTATTCATCTTAACTTTTACAGAGTTTTTTTTTCAATGGGAATAAAACGCAGTGTAGTTTTTTCCAATGCTTACTTAGTGTGTATGATAACACCTACTGTAGTTGGAGATGATGCATAGAATTGCTTAAAAGATTAATCAAAAAGTTGGAATGTTGAAACTGTCTTCTCCTCAACAAGTTGAATTAGCCAGACACAAAGCATAAATAAGACAGCTTTGAAGTTGCTTTAAAGTGATTAAGTTTCACTTTGGTCAGAGCCAGCGAAGCAGTTTCCCCTGCTTCACATCTTGGTGCTAAGCTTGACTAAACACATCCCAAATCCTGATCTCAGTGAAATCAAATTGGTATTGATCTTCTCATGAGGCTGTGGGTTTGCTGGTAAACAAGCATTTCCCAAAATGTTTGACTTTTGCTTTATGGTTTTATTTAGTTTTAGGTGCTTAAATGAACTGACTGAGTCTATCTGGTGTCCTAAACAAACAAGCAAGACAATATGTCCGTGCGGTGGACATGTGAAATATTCAGTGGACAGTATATTCATTAATATAAAGAAGAATCCAGTCCACATTTCAGCCACCAGATCCTCTCTTTGAATAAGAAATAGTATAATATTGAATTGTTTTTCTAAATTTGGGAAAAAATTACTTTTAATAACTTAAAAGCAACAATGGTCTCAATAGTGATCTGTGCAAATGAAATTTAACTGGGTTTTTCGTAATTACACTTTTACTTAACAAGCTTTAGCTTTCACATTTCTCAAACTAAGATCTAATCCTGTCTGTTCCCCAGAGAAATACAAATCCTAGAAACTCCATTTGAGGAATCAAATTCTTTTGAGAAGCATTGTTAGCATGCTAGATACTGAACACGTACTTTTCTTATTTCTCACTCTTCAGACAAAAAATACCATGTTTCTCTATAGTTTTTTTATGATCTTTATGCCTTTGTGCCATATTTCTCTCCACAGACATAGATGAATGTGAGAACCCAGATGCCTGCAGTCAGATCTGCATCAACTACAAAGGAGATTATAAGTGTGAATGCTACGAAGGCTATGAGATGGACCCTGCCTCTAAGACCTGCAAGGCCGTGGGTGAGCCATTTATCACTCACAAACACACACGCTCAAGCTCATTTGTACAGGTAAAGACGCACGCTGTCAAAGATGAACGTTCCCACCAAAATACAGTCATGAGCACACATGTACTTAAGAGGAATCACACGCCGAGCCCAACTCTTATATACACACCAATTACTTTCCCATTCAAGCACCCCTAGCTACCGAGTCACATCCCACACTGTGGGACTCTGTGAAACGGGATGCTCGCTTTGTATGCAGGCCTTGCACATCAATCTGTGCAAAGATAAATATTTGCCACCTTTTTCTGCAGTCCTCACTAATGAAAAGTTTGCAGCCAGCTGCCTCTGCTCTCCCTGGAGTGTCAAGGGAGGGATGCTGTGTGGGGAGGGGCCTGTCTTCTCTCTATAGCACACTAGCAGGGTCTGTACCCCTCGTTGGCCTGGGTAAACACTCCAAGCAGTGGTATGAATCAAAATAAAATCCTCAAAACCGCACCAGGGACGGTTGTTATTGAAAAATGGTCCGCCTAAATCCTGAAGTGAAGATGCAACTGTATCTTGTTAGCTGCCTTTTGAAAAGCGTGAATGTGATTTCTGGGTTGTTTTTAATCAGTCCCCCCATTCTCTGTCTGTTACAGCTGGCTTTACCGATAACGACACTGTCTGTCAACAACCATTTAAACACCTGCAGATAACGTTTCACTGACAAATTAGAGCTTCTGATGTGTAGTGATGTTATGATAAAAGATGATGTATATTTTACACCTAACAGTGCTGAAATTCTCAGAACTGTTAGTGTAAAATATATGAAAAACAGTACATCTTTTCCATTTAATAATAGAGTATACCAAGAGGATAAGTTATCATAATCATGGCATTATCAGTGCTTTACCTACAGTATGGAGTTCTACAGGAAACATAGGCTCTTACTCTGGGAGTGTGAGTGCCTTGCAACTAACCCTTTACTTAAATTGGGAATAGAAACTTTAACTGATTGAGTTACACAGCAAATTAACTTTTTTTGTGGGAAAAGAGAGAGAAAAGAGTGTTATTAGTGATTACCGCCATCGGTCTTAGGTTGAGTCATTATAGGGTGAACTGGTCTGGTAATGAGAGAGCTTAAAGCAGAAAACAGGCCCTCACTCTTAAGCTAAGTGGCATAAAATCCACCATTGATTGCTTCATGTCTCTCTGTGTGAATCTTTATTACTGCTAGGCAGAGCAAACAGTCCTTGTCAGGTCAGGGCATTTATAAGAGGGGAGGATAGGCAAGCAGAGGAGAAAAGATAGAGAAAAAAAGATGGATGCGTTGTATGAATATCTCTCTGCTCATTGAAGTAACCCAGAGATGCATCCTGCAGTGTTGACTGTGGCACATTATAGTGTGCCAAAGGAGACGGAAAGACAGAAAATGTGACAGAATTTATTGTTTATGTTGTGGTTTATTTTTTCCTAGGCACAAATAGGGCTGGGACCATACATGCTGAGATATCTGCTTTGCAAAGCTGATGAAATGAAATGTGAATTTAATGAAGCTCCATTTGCCTGTGAACTCATTTTTAGACACATGTAAACCCAATCACACATGGCCACAGACGTCAGCACATATAAACACTTTCTGGTCACACAAATGCACATGTCGTCATTTTGGGGAGTCATGTCAAAGTTTGCACACAGACACAATTCCCCTGTGACTGACTGGCCTGGAGGAATGTCACGTTCTGTGCTGAGATGTGACATGTGCCAAATGGCAATATAATTTGCACATATTGAAGTGCAGGCTGCAAAATACCAGGCTGTTGTTTGTGCTTTTTTCTCGGAGGCACACAGCAAAAACACAATGTCATCCTCAAGTTACACACAATCCCATATATAGCTTTTTTCCCCCTGCATTTCTTGCTTGTGTTTGTTGTAGTTAGTGCAAGTTGAGCCTATGCAGATAATTAGGAGAAGAGTTACTCATAGCTGAAGAATAACCTCTGCTCTTTGCATTCTCGTATGTGAGTATATTTCATTCTTATCCTTACACGTTGTTTCAGCCTCTGCAGATTAATTTCAGAGTAATATGCAACTGTTACAGTAGCAATGCTAATTAAAATTTAAGTGCCAGGTTGGAGTTATAATGCGTTCACTCTTCTGAGCTGGTATTTGTGTATGCGTATCTGTGTGCATGTTTGTATTGGTACATGGCAGCGCCCATTAAGTCCCCTGAAGAAAGCCTTGCTCTACTACTAATTGCATTCATTGTTTTTGTGTTTACACCTTTATGGGTGTGATGCCACTCACTGAGTCGTCAACTTGAGTTATTATTATTGTGCATAAGAGACAGCAAGAGAGAGAGGCAGTGTGGGAGTTTACTTTATGTATGAGGTATGAGAATAACAGCCGGTCCACACAGACCACAGTTTCTGAGGCATTTCTTGACCAGTTTAGTTGTTATGTCATACATAGTTAATACAAAATTAGATTGGGACAAGACCAACAAAGAGAAAAAGAAGGATGGAGATATGAGAGCCCACTTACATGAAGGAAGATAACACCTGACACCATTTCTCAAGTATTATTATCATTTTATGTCACAGCTGATCGGTCAACATATTAAGGGGAAGTACTGCAGCATAGTTTCTTAAGAAAAATGTTTTTCAGTATCACTTTTTTTTATTATTGAAAAAAGCTCAATAAAATAAAACTGTTCAATGTTGCAACTAGAACTTCAAGTGCTGCAATAATGATAATAGCATTTCTGTTTTTTGATATTAACTGATGTTTATAATGTAATTGTTGGATTCAACAATATATTCAGGGTGGATAAAAAAAAACAAATAACTATGCTGCAGATTTGACATGTCAATCAAACAACAAATATCCCTCACTGGCTCTGTTCAGTTGCATCAACTCAACTCAAGTTCATTGTTTGCAGTGGTGAAAGGGCAAATATTGGGTGCACTGAAATATTAATGATATAGGTAACATTCGCATACAGAAAATAAAGTTGCTCTCTAATGACAGTTGACAACAGAGCCCTTTAAGGCAGTCAAATTAAAGTTTATGAAATTTACAGACTGGAGCCTGATAAAACGAGAAAGATGTGACAGCATGAAATACATTGCAGGTACACACACAGACTGGTTGATAAATGCCGGACACGCTGTCGCAACAATGCAGAAGAAATGTACTGCCAGTGGACCAGTCTTTCTTTCTTTCTTTTTCTTTCTTTCTTTCTTTCTTTCTTTTTTCTTTTTTCTTTTTTTGCTTTTGTTTCTTTCTCTTGTTTCTTGTTCTTGCTCTCATCTACAGTGTACTGCAGGCTTAACAATGCCAAGAGCAGTTTGTGCCACACTTGACAGTGTGAGCACACAGTTTTCAAAAAAGGTTTAAAACAGTGGTCAGATTTTCCCCGCTGTCAAAAGAGTTTGCCATGGGACCCAAGATGTTGTGGAACACTGTCAAAGCTCATCTCAGAAGTTTCTCTTTCAGTTTTAGCTATTTAATGAACTAGTACATAACATTTTATTCTCTCTGCCTGTAGGAATATTGGAAATATTAATCCGGAATACAAATTTCGCATATATCTATATATTTTTCAAGCTTGTTAGAAGAAAAGGAAACAATTCTTGCCTTCCACAGAAATAATGAAGCATTATATAACTTGCTTTGTCATGAGGAATGCTACAGAGTTAAAAAAAAACAGCACTTTTTGACATTTGTTGACAGAAGGTTCATTTCTGTTCCCTGCTGCAGCATCTATTCATCATTATATACCATGGTTTGTATGTCTTAATGAGCATGGCTGATGTGTTTCTACTTCCAGACGTATCATCATCCTAATAACCTCATCCAGTGTAGGTCCATTCACGCTGGCTACAACTGTACATCCCCATCATCCTGCAGAATTTCATACCTTTATGTCTGACCTTTCTGTCTGTCTTCATGTTGGATTTTTTATTATTAGTTTGCATAACTCCACAACATAAACATCTGCTTTGGTATGAATCAAATCAATGCTCCTGCAGTGCCTGATGGCATTTCCCCAGCCCCTATTTATCTTTTCACTGCATTATCTTAATTGGCTAACGTGGCACAACGGCCCTGAACTGGCAGTACAGATTAAAATATATCTAGGGGACCCTGTTCTTCTTAGGAAAGTCGACTGTTGCTCTGCTGGAATCTACTGAGGAGAGATAATATTGTACCATTTGATGACATCTCTGGTGCCTTGGCCTGAAGAAAACTGTGACTCAGCTTTTTTTTGCCTTGAGGAGGACATATTGCTACGACAACAGTGATGAGGGATTGAGATGTTGTCTTGAAAAAGTGAGTCAGGGGGACTGATGAAAGAGAAATTAGATCTATCTCTGTCCTTACTTCAAAATGTTGTTACTCTCTTTTTCTCATCCTGTCTTTCTCACTTTTTTCTGTTTCACTCTGCCCACCTGACTTTCTTTCCCCTGCTGTCACTTGACTTTTTGATATATTTTCCTTCCGGCTTCCTCCCCTAATTACAATCTCTTACTCTTCATTTCTCCATGACTCTACCTGCATCCATCACATTTGCTTGTGCCTGTCTCTTTCTTACTTCATTCCTTTCTGTCTTTCTCTCCCTCTCTTTTCCTCTCTTTCTCTCTCTCAGCAGGTGAAATTGATGGTTACAAACCTAGTAGTCAGAGGAAAATGATTGGATCCAAACAGTAGTAGAAATGTAATATTTTCTCCCTGTGCAGTAGCCCGTATTAAACCGGGGCTGGGGAAACCTATTGAGGGATGGTTGGCTCTGTGTGAAAGTATGAGTTTGTGTGTCTGTGTGTGTGTATGCCAGTGTGTGACTGTTGCCCAACTTTGTCTCTTTCTGGGCATTTCTGCTTTACTGGACAGTGTGGAGTGGAGAGTAACATGACAGATAGAAGAGAGAAGCAAGGATGAATGAAGGAAACTAGAAAATGAGATGGGTGGGTATTTGTGCGAAAGAGAGCAAAAAGATAAAGACAGAGAGGGAACCAGGCAGACAGAGAGAAATCGAGGGCAAAAGAGTACTGCTGGAAAAATAAAGGATATAAATAAAGGGAAATTATTGGAGTGCACTATGATGAATGATATAGAAGGTAAGGTAAAATGTCATGGATTTGTGAGTGTATATACAGTTTGTATAGGAGGTGAAAATACCGTATGCAAACAACATTTTTTGTGTCTGTGTACTAAAGATGAAGTTGACCTTGTCGACTGCATGAGAATTATTTAAATGCTTGAGTCATGCTCACCTTCAGCCTGCTGAAAAATGTGCCCCAGGTAACTGATGTCCCAGCAAACGGCAGGCATTGCACACACCAGAGGAAGAGAACCCAGAAACACACTTTTGACATGCTTTTGCACTAAAAATAGAACAATGTGTCATGTCTAGTTTTCAGGCTACTTCATCCACCTGCACATTGTGCTTCACTGCTTCATCCAGCAGCAGCACACACACTCACATACACACGTTGCAAAAACAATGCTCTTTAAATGGATGTGTCCCTTTTAAGCCTTCTTCGCTTTAAGTTTGTGCCACCTTAAATAATGTATGTGTTTTCTGCAAAGCATAATTGTGAGAATAATTAAGTAAACAGCAGTGTGTGTGTGTGTGTGTGTGTGTGCGTGTGTGCGTGCAGTATATTTTCCTTTTAAATGGTTTATTTGGATGATTTATTCATGCTCACATCATCAAAAATACATGCTTTATGGACCTAAATAGTACAAATGCAAAACAAGACCTCTTACATTATGTTCCCTCTTTGGAATAAGAATTAACAGCCCAACACCACCCATGGTATCTTTGTAGACATTAGTATGTTTTTAAAAGTACTGCTGAAGTGCATGTCATGGGGAAAAGGACTAATTTATTTGCAGCCTTAAACAAACTAATTTGTCTTTATCAGAGGCAAAGTGGACAAAGACGTAAGACAAATATAGTCAACATAAAATAGTTGTACAATTGTCATTGGATGGTTGGTTGAACAGTATTTGAAATATATTGGATAATGGATTCAAGAGTGGTGGTTGCCATTGCCAACTCATCAGTGTAAGAATAATACACAAATGTTATCAAAATATTAAAGGGCAAACTTATTTTTAATTCAGTGCAGTGAGCAGCACTGGCATAAAGTCAGTGTGACCTTGTCTGTCTCAGGCTCAGGAGCAGTCTGGATTGCATGTTAGCAAAAATGCAGATGTGCAGGTTCACCTTTCAAATACAGGTTTCGGATGTGTGCTACAATGGATTGTATCAATGTCAAGGTCAGCAAATGTTTCCATGTCATATATACACTAGCACGCTCATGATTGACAGTACCGCAAATGGCCCATGTCCAATAGAGAGTGGGATGAGAATGATAAATGTACTCTTTTGGGGTTACAATAATAGGTTAATGGCCGTCAAGGGTCTCCACCCGCCTCAGGAGCGCCGTGGCCCGTCTGTCCAATCTTGCCAATGTCAAATAGTAAATAAATGGCAGAGACGTTTTCGTATGCGATTGTGACATAAATGTCTTTTACTGCCCCATCAGGAAAGAGTCCATACCTGATGTTCACCAACCGCCATGAGATCCGTCGCATCGACCTGCTGAAGAGTGAATACGCACAGGTGGTTCCCACGCTGAAGAATGCAGTGGCCCTGGATGTAGACGTATCCACCAACAAGATGTTCTGGTGTGATCTATATCATCGTAAAATATACAGGTACGTGTGATTTGTGTGATATTTACCATAATATCTGATGGAAGTAAAATATTTGCTATAAAACAATGAATGACTTTGGGAGTTTGGATAATGCTCCCTCTTTGTTCTTCAGCCATTCTGTCACTCTGTTTCCTCTGTCCATCCATCTTGTCTGCTTCAACCTGTCACACCTTCTGGTTGGGAGACAGACACACGTGGGGGTGTGTGTGTGTGTGTGTGTGTGTGTGTGTGTGTGTGTGTGTGTGTGTGTGTGTGTGTGTGTCAGACACACCTGGTGTATCATCGGTCCGACAGTAAAGGTGGAGCTGTTTGCCCTTCACACACACATATAGTATGAGCACACACACAATTACTCATACTGTAGGTATATCATTACTTTGATCTTACGTGTGTGTGTGTGTGTGTGTGTGTGTGTGCGTGTGTGTGTGTGTGTGTCTCACCCTGATGGTTGACAGGTAGTGGGAGGGGCCTTCTATCATCTCAGCTGAGCCATATGCTCTCTCTAATTTCACTGCCTCAATAATCACCACCATTACTCATCTGCATACACACACACGCACATACATCCACATACACATACATCTACACAAACTCAGCGATACACTCAAGGGCTTGTGACAGAGAAAGGACAAATGAACTCATTCGTAATGATGAACTCGACTTTGGAAGCAGCAGTAAACACACACACGTACACTTTACATGGCCAGCAACAAGTGAATTTATAAATCTACTTGGAGTTGTTGTTGGTTGTGTTTGTCCCCCTCTCAGCCTATGAAAATAATAAATTTTTATACACCAAAACCATAAAGGAATGCCATTGGCTCAGTACATTTAGACTTCTTTATCAGCTATAAATGACTTTGGCGGGGCACAGATGTCACGCACTACTGATTGGTTAGGGCAATCGGTGAGCATGAACACATCAAGCTGAATAAATGAAGTGAAACGAAATGGCAATTAGTCTCTATGAAAAAGTTATGGTTTTTCTTTGTACCTCCTTATTACTTTCTTCTCATATATAATGTTTCAAGAACGCTTTCTTGTTCCACTGATTTTTTAAATAACCGAATACCTTGAATCTTAATTGTAAGAAGGTGATTGATCACACCTTTTACCCAAGCATCTAACATTTGCAGTGTTTTTCAAATGGAAATAGCTGTGTATTTAAAAGCGATTCCTCCTCATTGTCCCTAACCGTGACGCTGTGATTTTCCTGGCTAATTCATAGTTATTAGCAAGCTACGGGTCGATGACTTGTTAACTTCTCCCCATGATGGAGATGTCTGTTGCGAACAATAATACAGCCAATTAAAGATGCAATCTGCTCAGTGGTCTTGGACTCATCTGTCTCTGTCTTATTCCTTACACTAGTCTGCCCTGTAATCATCCCTCCATCCTGTTTATCCTTGTCTATCTGAATATTTGTAATTAATAAGGACATAATAAAAAGTACCCATACTACGTGAAAGTATATGTTAGTAAAGGCAAATATTTGTGTAATAATGATAATTTATGCATGATATCTACAAGACACTAGGGTATGTATTTATTTATGTATATATTATTGTAAATAAATTGAGATTTGATTATTATATTGGACAAGTCATAGATTATAAGTTAAATAAAAATAAAATACGGTAAAATACTAGTCACAGTGTGGTATGTTTCAGAGTAAATCTGTGTCATTTTTATCCCACAATTGTCTGTAATGTACAGTTCCTAATTAGACCAGTGCACTAATAACACAAGGGATTTCATCCACGTCCACTTTGCTCCAGCCCCCCATTTTAATTTGCTCCCTGAGTGAGAGGCAGATGTTGGATACATGTTATAAACCGAGGGACACAAGAAAGAAACCTTAGATTATCTATCACTAGCCAGCAGCAGGCTAAATTTCCTCCAATAGATAAAGATGTCTGCAGTGACAAACAGCAACACAGCCAATTAATAACACAATCTGCTTCCAAGTCCCCTACTCATCCATCTCTACCTCATCCCTTGGTCCAACTACCAGCCTTCTATTTTAGTTAAGCTGCTCCTCCCATCTGTACTCCATTCTTGTATGCTTCAATAACGTGATGACGGGGTGTAAATTGGGACATTGCATTCCCCAACCTTTTAACAAGATTGTCTTGTATTGTCTTGTTTTATAGCTCTCGTGTAGTGAAGACAATAATGTGCTGCGTATGACAGTGTTGGGGAAGAAAGGGAAAAGAGAAAAGTAGAAATGGGGACAGAAGAATGGACGGACAGTAAGTGGGACGCAAGAGGAAAATAGAGAGAGATTGAGAAGACGAGAGACACAGACAGGGAGAGTGACAAAAACAGAGATAGAGGCAGGTTGTTCTATAACCTGCTGAGAGATAAAGACAGACTCTTTCCCCCTGGGAGGTTCTGTTTGGTGAGAAGCCTGAGGTTGTTATAGAGGTGTCAGAGTTTGGGTGCCCCTGACATTGCATTATCTAGAGTAAAGAATACCTGCTCCCCAGCATGTGCAAGTATCTAAGGCAGTTAGTCCACTCAAGTCTTTTCCTCACAGGAAAAAGAGACCAGAATAAACAGGAACAAATCTAGCAACATGCAACTTTGCACTTTCTGCTTTTTTCTGCCTGTTCCTAAATTATTAGGTATTTCATAATTTCTACAACACTGACTGGCAGCTCTTTTCTACCGTCCACCAGTGCTTACATCAACAAGGCCAGTGACTCGTCGCAGCAGGTGACTCTCATTGACTCGCTCCACTCCCCCGAGGGCCTGGCCGTCGACTGGGTTCACAAGAACATCTACTGGACCGACTCGGGCAACAAGAGCATCTCGGTCGCCACAGGAGACGGCAGGAAGAGAAAAGTGCTGATAGCCACTGAGCTGAGTGAGCCACGGGCCATCGCAGTGGATCCACACCAAGGGTGAGTAAAAGAGGTTTGAGGGTGGGCGTGAGAAGATGGCAAAGGAGCGGAGTTGTGAGTTGTGAAAGGGTAAGGAAGGAAGGATGGAGGTTAAGAATGGCAGGAAGGAGGGAGTGGGAGTGGGAGCGTGACCAGACAAGCCTGTGGGCATCACTGCCATAAGTTTTTAAAGAGAATTAATTTTGTCTAAAAGTAAACATTTTCACTGCACCATACAAACACAATTTGTAGTTCTGCACAGCTTAACAATTATTTGGACATACGACGTGACTCTTGTCTGCTCCATCTGCCCATTGCTCTTTGTCTCAGATGTCTTGAGTTCCCCAAAGGGCTCCTTTCACAACTCTACATGAAATACATGCAAATGAAGCTTAGCTTTAATGGACACACACGGACACACGGTTAAAAGTGGTCCAAGTTTCCAGTACCTGCTGTTTTGCACAGTATCTACTTTCCTTTAATGTCTCCAAGGCCTGTTTCAGAAGTAAAAGCATTGGAGAGAAAATGAGATAGTTACAGAGACAGAGTCAGACAGGGACATTGTGTGACAGAATACAGTAGATTCAGTCACATATTAGTTGTATTCTCAAACTTGACTATGACATTGCACATTAAAAACCTATTTACTGCCCCTGAAAAGGGGCTTTTTTCTTCTTTTGTACTCAGTTGTACCCCTCAGTGCTTAACTGGTATATGTGCCTTTCCACAGGTTTATGTACTGGTCAGACTGGGGAGGTCAGGCCAAAATAGAGAAGTCTGGATTGAATGGAGTGGACCGGCAAGTTCTGGTGTCTGAACACATCGAGTGGCCCAACGGAATCACACTGGGTAAGGGAGGACAGAATACACAGCTTTGATCATGAAAGACTCATTGAAGAGGGCAGAGAAAACCACAAGATTGTACAGGGACAGGAAAATCAATCAGTTTTATAAACAAAGTTATAATGCTTTTGGAGAGAGACAAAAAAAATGGTTTGAGTAAATTCAACTCAAAGAAAGAAACAATAACAGAGATGGAGAGAGGGAAAGAAACAGACAAACAGCAAGAGCTGAGAGAAGAAAACAGTCTAGGGGTGCTGCAACCCCTGAGTAGCTCTTATTGTTATGGCTCAGTTTGTGTCTGGCTCTCATCAATCAAGCCAGCCAACACGGGCCTCCGAATTAATAAGCCAGACGCTCTCAGTCGTCGATACCTCCCGTCATCCCTTTCAACTCCCTCTGCGGCCAATAGCCAATTTTTCTCTGCTGCCCTTGCCTGAGGAGAAAGAGAGGCACACAGTTGCCACACTCTGTGGAATTGAGGTGTCACTACATCTGTATGAAAACAAATTATTTTTTAGAGTAAGGCGAATGAGAGAGTTGGCAAGATTGCACTATACTACTTTGGAAGAAGAGGTGGATTATTTTCCCCTGGTCATTGATTTCGCACAGAGCATGAGATTGTCTGAGTCAGGTTAGGTGAAGTTGTGAATGAAAATAAATCTCTTTTTTTTTTTGTTTTGTTAGAGCCATTAATGTGCCAAGCTGAAATGTTTAAATTGTGTTAACAAAAACTTTCAAATGTAAGCAATGCTGCCTAAGATGTCTCTTGCTGTCAAATTTAATGGAATCTGTAAAACTGCAAGTCAACACATTACTTTGTGGCCCATAGCTGGAGCGCAAAAATTGAGTCCTAAAGTAGGCAGTGTTGGGGACTGTTACATGCTGATAGAATTGTAATATTGAAAAGTGTTCCTTTAAAGGAAGTCCACCAAGACTAATCAATTTGCTCAAGGTCACATATTTTCCCCAGCAAATAAGTCAACCGGCAATATTACAATCACATCTGTGTTTTCTCAGCACAGGGCCTCAGCCGTCATGTCAAAGAAGATTGATGGTGTAGCTACTGGGCCATTACATTCATATACCTCTCACCCTAGGCCTTTTCTTTTGGAATGACCTCTCTCTCCATCCATCTCCCTCTCCATCCTCCTTTTTCCTTCTTGGTTTTGTTCTCTCTCTCTCTCTCTCTCTCTCTCTCTCTCTCTCTCTCTCTCTCTCTCTCTTCCTCCTCCATCTTCTCAGACTTGTCTAACAGGCGTCTCTACTGGGTGGACTCCAAGCTGCACCTCCTGTCTAGTGTGGATCTGAATGGAGACAACCGCAAAGTTCTGCTGTCCTCCCATCACCACCTGGGACACCCCTTCGCCCTCACTGTGTTCGAGGTACAGAAGGATTGAGATTCAAATCCCAGCCACACAAACTAGTCCAACTAATGGCGCCAGAGACCTTTAAATCTCATAGTATGCCAGTAAATTGTTTGTACAAGTACAAAGCGTACCACACTATGCTATTACATGTTACCCCATTAAATACAGAGAGCTTATATTCTACTTCTTTAGTCTTTCCCATTTTCCAGACCAGATGTTTTAATATTGATTTCTTTCCTTCGGGGTAGCTGTTATTTTTAGTTAATGTTGGCATGTTGAGAAAAGTAAGACCCTTGCGAAGTATAATCTGCTTTGTTTTCTCAAGGTCCTCTTAAGCAGCTAAATATCCAGTTTAGGGTATTAGCAAATTCCCTAAAATATCAGGCTAATGAAAGTAAAATATACAAATTAATACTAATTCTGGCATGAGGGTTTAATCGATTTCAAACCAGCTTGCTTCAACAGCTTCAATGAAGCTGATCATAATATTAAAAGAAAACAAATGTACCTTCAATTACAGCATAATATATATATTTATTTTCATTTTTCCCACTTTGGGACTTGGCATGGATCATTTGCAAACACTTGGCAGTGATTGTAGGAGGTCTCTACCTGAAAGGCAACAAGGAGTTAACGTCCTTATTCGACCTCAAAAAGTAGATACACAACAGAAAAATAGGTCTGTGCGCACTTATCTCTGCCTCATGGGTGACACTCTCCTATCTTGTTAGTTGATTCCCATCTTGGCAGTGTATTTCTAGATTTTTGGCGAGCCAAATTTAAGCATTGGACATGAGTATTTTATTATGGTTATTTATAACTAGAGCACATTGGGCCAGCTTCTTTGTCAGACATGGAGGACTAAAAATACTGCAGAGCAAATGCATGTAAGTTTTTGATGAATACTACGTGTCATTAAGGAACACCTGAATTGTTGCTTGTTACTGTAATAAGCACATACTGGTATTTTTATAAAGTATACTAGGGTGTGTCTGGCTGAAGAGAAGTTCGAGAGTTTAAGAAGTTGAGGAAGAGAATGAAGTAAATGAAGGAACATTGTCTGACTGAGAGATTGATTGAAAATAAATGAAAGATTGAGATGTTTTAAAAGTTTAGTAGCAAGATAAATGCGGAGAAGGGATTATCTTTTCAAGGGGCTGACGAGTGTAGTCACAGTAGAGTACAGCAATCGATGAAACTAATTTGAGTGTATTTATTGAGGCAGGAGTGAGTCTGTCTGTTAGAGCCCGTCAAGCATTGATGATGTGGAAGATGGAAAAGAGAACCAGAGGAGAGCAGGGGAGGGAGGATGAGGGACAGAAAAGACGAGAAATGTGAACAGGAATTGCTTTCTCCATTCTTCTATTTGCTACAAACACTGTGATGATGAGAAGCAAAGGGAGGAAGAGACATCCATCATGTCCAGCTGAGTGTGTGTGTGTGTGTGTGTGTGTGTGTGTGTGTGTGTGTGTGTGTGTGTGTGTTTGTGTGTAAAAAAGAGGAAGAAAACCAACGTTTCAGGCAAGCACGGAAAGTTCATCTCTTGAGATTAATAGCCCTCAGCTCTTCTGGTCTTCGTTCTGTTGGTTATGACACAGACCAAATTAAAAATCCTTTAGCAGTGCAGCAGAGTGTCCTGGTCCCAACAGGCCGATAATGGGAAGTTTGTTTCTTTGGAGTTGCCTGTTGTTTGAGTTGTGGACTGAAACAATGAACCATTTTTGTCCTTTTAATTTAGTTTGTGTCTTATCTGGGAAATGAGCCTCAAAGGAGCATTTTTGACTCTGGGTCTGTGTTAAACAGCAGATTAGCCCAGTTGTGTAACCTGCCATACTTTACACTAGATAATGATGTATCATTTATTGACATGAGGAGGAGGATAATTGTTTTTGGTCATTATAAACTGAGGTCTCCAAGCATGTTTGTGCTGCTGCAGGGGAAGAATGTGACTAGAGCTGCAGCGATTACTTGATAATCAATTCATCTTTCTTTTCAAGCAAAACTGCCAAACACATTTGAGAACCAGATTCAAAACAAGAAATCTTTGGACTGCCCCAACTGCTAAAAAAAAATCCTAGAGGAAACACTGCATACAATAGTTAATTTGCGCATGTGAGAGATATGAGGTTTCACAAATGTGAGTTAATATATACACATAGACTTTACCATAATACAGACTTTACATACATTCATACGGTGAGGATTATGGCCTGTACGGCCCCTCATATTCTTCAGTGATACACAGAACAATTCTGATGTACTAATCTTTCTTAAGACTGCAGAGGAGAGACACACGGTTCCTATATCAAAGTCTGAACACGCCACCACCAAACACACACATAAAAAAGACACACACACACAAACACAAACACAAACCCTTCCAGTCTGTGTCACCCCCTGCCTAGACACCAAGCCCTGAGGAAATGTTGATCGCAGAGGCATGCAGAGAGTAATGTTTTCTCTTTCTCTGGCTTTAGTATCATTGCATTACTCTTTATCCCCTCTTTGTTTGACTTGAGGGGATAGAGGGGGAGATGAGATGAGTTTTTGAAGAGAGGGGGATGGGGATTGAAAGAAAAAGACAATGGAAATAAACAAAGTCAGGAAGAAAGAAAATAATGGTGTCCTTTTACCATTGCATCGTAGGAAGATTTGGTTTCAGAGGTCCTGCACTCCGTTCACTCTGTTCAGGTTGAAGGTGGGAATTACATGAGCTCAACAAACTACAGTTGTCCCTTGCTTACAAGTGCAGAGCACTAGCTGCGGTCCGGTCGGGCTAGTGCAGTCACAATAACTTCTCTTTACAAATACTGAGGTATTTGTACCATGGACTACTGTCTCATAACTGGCCGCAAAACATTGCTTTGTGAAACAGATCTTTCTCTGACAAAGGATGTTAAATAAAATATACACAACACAGCTAATAATCTATGATAATTTGCTCTGTTTTGGACTGCGACATGCCTGCTTTTGGTCAACAGCATGGATTTGTTTCACCATAGTTAATTTTACCTCTTCGATTGGATGCTCTGATCGCGACATGACCATTGGAATGAATTGATTTCAAAATGTTGCCCTTTTAAATCCAGGCCTTTGAAGTATGGTCACATTTGACTTCAGTACAAACAGAATTGCCTTGCACCCAGCATCTAAAAGGATACAATGTCAAAAGTCTAACAGAGATAATAAAGAAATATTGAGTGATCATAGACGGTAAACAGTTTGAACTTGCTTGTCAAAGTCAGCCAGAGCTGATTGGTACTCACACCCAAACAGAAAACACATTCTTGAATTCTGTCACACAGGGATCAATTAAAGGAATGAGAGATTAAGTGAGACTTGAGCATGTGTGACAACAGCTTTAACAGAATAGTGAGGAAAATGTCAGTCAAGCCCTATCTGTCCACACCCACAGTCCAGATAAGAGGTCTAAGCAGCTAAAAAAACTAAAAACACCTGTGTGGGTGTACCAGGCTTTAATACTCTTCTGCAGCTTAGTGGAGATTAACACAAAATGTCTCCTAACGTCATTTGATTCCTACAAAGATTTAACACCAAGCATACATTATTTTTTTATGAATTGGGCTGATACAACCAAGAATACAAATCAAACCCAAAAGATCAAAGGCTTCAGAAGTTGAGTGGGTTGGCTTTGTTTGAGCTTTCATTTGTAGTATTCTGGCATGACATCCAAGTATGCAAGAGGCACCAAAAGCTCATTAGGCAGATGTGTCAATCAAAAGACCCCAGCATATGTCAGAAGGTTCTTGTGGGACAAAACCATGAAGGGCTGTTCTCACCATGCCCCTAAAAAGACTTCATATCCATTTAGATGTAGTCCCATCCCCTTGACAACCGCAGACAGACTTGGCTTTGACTGCAATGCCATGTGTTCAGGAGAGCTTGTGCCTGTGCACGTGTGTGCAAGTTATATCCTTCGACACTTGGAAGATTCACCTTGATTCTACAATGAAGAGCATTGACCTCCCCAGGTCTGCATTTCTGTTTGAAGCTTTCAAGGTGAGAAAAAGTGACAGATTGACAGTGGAGGAATTGAAAGAGAGAAACTGCGATAGAGACCGACAAAGACCGAGAAAGATATCCACAGAGACAGAAAGGCAAAGGGAGAGATGGAATGATAGATTTGAGTCATGTTTTATCAACATGGCTGATATTTGTCTTTGATTGTTTCAGCACTACTGTCATATGAGTAAAGGTTATCTGAATCTGAGTGAGGTGGAGTTGCAGCAATGGAGAGCTCAGTGATAGATGGAAAAGGAGAAGGTGTGAGAAAGGTTAAGTCCTGATAACCGAGCAGAAATTGAGAGCGTGGATTACAGCTGTGAGTGAACCACACACAGAGATACACAAATACATACTTATATACAGACACCAAACAAATCTTTCCAAAACCTTGCCCTTTAAAATAACCATACAACTGTTAAACACAATCTCAGCCTAATGGAAAAACCTTCTTATGATCTTAACGTCTCTGTGTTTTTCTTAATTGATGTGTATCTGCATAGATTGAGCAGTCTGCAGTTGCCGTGGAAACCAAGTGCCATAACCACATGTGCAGAGTATCCTGTTATCCTGTAGTATCTCTTAAGAGAATTGTGAGGATGTGTTAGAGAGAAGAAGAGAAATCAAGAAAGAAGCTAAAGTGATAGATGAGAGAATTTCTGTATTTATTCCTTCATTTTCAAGGTAACAGGGGCAATAGATTTTTGCACAAGGGATTTTCACAATAAAGAGAAACTGTAACCTGTAGGTATATCTACCAGCATCCCCATGGATGTCGTGTTTTCTAGTGTTGTTGTAGTGGTTTCTGACAGATTATTGCATTAGCAGCAACAGCTCTTGATACATACAGTGTGTACCTGTAGGTTGATTTTAGGCAGCAAAAACTACTTGCTTAGCGATAGACTGCTGTTCATTCTAAAGAGGATCTAGCATTGCAGCCTACTCTGACGCGCATGCTCTAGGCTGGCTTGGCTGGAGAAGTCAAGTCAAATCTATTTCATTCTCTTCAAAAAAGACTTTAATGTGGAATACATTGAAGACACCTTGGTAAGAGCAGGCAGCAGACTGAACAAACAGAGAAGGACTCTAGTGAACGTGCTCTATGGGCCCGAAAACACTTAGGCGTAAGGAAGCCCATCAAGGCTTTTTTGGCCTATATGCCCAGTGAACAACTTTCATTCATCATTGAATGCAGCATCCACTTCTCCCTTAAAATAACCATGCTACAAACATATTGTATGCCAACCCAAACGTCTAACTACTTCCTGCTTTGGCACCTAAAAAGGACAACGCAGAGATGAAAGAATGTTTTTCTATTAAAAAATTGAATGGAAGATAATACCGCTTTTGTTAAGCTATTATTGCAATCCCATATCAGTGTTGTAGAGCGTTGTATGCCTGTTACTTTAACAGAAAATGTTGGGTTTTTTTTATCAATACAATCTTTACCACTTCACTGTGTTTAAGGAGGATGGAGTGTTAGATGCTCAAAGTGTCAAAGGATACAGTTAAAACAGCACATTTCCCATTGCAACATAACTTATTCAGTCCATTTAAACCTCTCCTTGATTAAAATGCAATGCATTTAACCTTACTTCAATAAATTATATTTTAGCCTCCAAACCTGTCATTTCTCATATGCCTTCAATTAAAAATTTAATTAAACTTACCCCAGGCATTAAACATTTTCTTAAAATGTGTCTCTCCTGTCAAGTAAATTATGAATCCACAAACCTAGATGTAATCAAATGTTACTTGTTACTGAAGAAGCAGAGTAGAGACTTGGACTTTGACCATGGTAACCTGGGGCCATTATAAGAACATCCCAGGGCAATTTTTTCACCCAGGTCCTTAACTGAAGTGGATGAGAGTTTAATCAAACAGCAATTGTTAGGATGAGCATACTGTATATGTCTGCAACTAACTGCAGAATTATTTCATTGGTACCCTTTCATCAGTAAAAGACTTGCAATGCCGGGCTCCCCAGTGAAATTTCTTTGGATAATTGCTGTTTACATATTAAATGCTGTTTATTCTAAATAAATGAATTGTATTTGTATGCAGATGATGTTAAGTGTTTAAATGGGATATATATGGTAGCATATCGGAGTTAAGGAGCACAAATGAATCTTAATTACAACAAATATGATTGGACATGGGGAAACAAACTTTAATTCTGTGTGACACAAACAAAACAGCATTGTGTTTGGCTACAGAGTAAACAATTTCTGCAACATTGTCGTTGAGGGTTTCTGCAGATAGTGTGTATATATGTTAATAAAAAGATGTTTTCAAATCTCTTTGTTTTTCTATTCAGGATCGCATATATTGGACAGACTTGGAGGATGAAGCAATATACAGTGTCAACCGACTGACGGGACACGATGTGGTAAAGGTGGCAGAGCACCTCAACAACCCCCTGGACCTGGTGGTGTTTCATGAACAGAGGCAGCCCAAAGGTAAGACATGCAGATAAAATGCTGGGAAACTCAGCAACTATGACATGACATGGACTTTCTTGTTTGTTTGTTTGTTTTTTTTTTTTTTTTTTTTGTTTCTAGGGAAATTTGGTAAAAGACAAAGCAGCCACAGCAAACTGATTAGACAAGTAGCTACAGGTGATGGGCTTGCATTCCAAATTGGGCATTATGGCGTCTGATCATATTTACTCTGTGTACCAGTTATGTATAATGATTACTCGATCTAAGTGCAGACCCAGAAAAATAAGCCAAAAATAAATAAATAAAGTAAATAAATAACCTGATGTGTGATTAGATCAATGTGTGTGCTGTGAATTTCAAATGATGGGTTGTGATGTTGTATTTTCCCCAGGACGGATGCTTTTCCAGATGTACGAACAAACACCTGTGTAGCGTGTGTGTTTGTGTGTATTTGACAGTGTGTATAAGCAATTTGCTTGTGTGAGTCTCTGTTTTCATGCTTTGTTTTCTCCTCTCACTCAGAGCTCAAAGCAGTCTTGTCTGAGTGTCAGTAGGGAGCTAATTGCATTCTCTCATTAATAAATCAAGAGTTCTGTTCAAAGAGATATCACAGAATTAAGCATGTTTTTTTCCAAAATGCCAACAAAAGCAAGACATAAAACAACCAGGCCTTACTAGGCTAAATTAAGACATACTGAATGAACTCTAGCTGCCCTGTGAAGATATATGAGTAGCACTGATAACAATGTGACCTTGAGTGAAGCCGTTTTCAAGTTCAACACCCTCTTCCTTTTCTTTCACTTGCTTCTTTCTCTCTTGCTTTTCATATCAGTTTTTCCTATCATAAAATATGCTTATCTAAACAAAACCCAAAAGGGAAGATCATCATTGTAGTAGTACACATCAACACATTCAAATATGGCTCCAACCGATCATGTCTTCATTTTTTTTAACTACTTCCTCAAAAGAGCCTTTTCTTCCTATCCTCTCTTTGTTGTGCTTTTTTATTATTGATACATTTTTTGTCCATCCAGCTTTGCTTTGAAGCCTAAGTTCCGTGTTTTAGTTCTTATTCCAGACCTAAGGGATGCAGCGCAGAGAAGTAGGAGGGGGACACTGGAGCTATTGCAACTTCAGAAAAACATCATTCTGCAAAATGTTATCTCCATCTCTCTCCGTCTGTCCTTATATCTTTCCTTCTCATCTTACTTTATTTGCTTTCCTATTGCCTCTTTTTCTCTCTTTCTGTTCTCTCCTTCTCTTCCCTTCCACCCTTGTGCCCCTTTCTTCCCCCAGCATAGAATTTAAATGTTTTGTCATAATGTGTCATGGCATTTCAAAGACTTGCTTTTACCCAAAGATTTAAATGTATTCTTAATATGGAAAGCAGGTGTATGAGTTCATATTACATACTTTTTATGCTGAGATACCGAGGATAAATGTATTCCCAGCCCATTCAAAACTCACTGTGGGCGGTGAGTGATAATGCTGCTTCCCTTTATGGCTGATGATGCCTCTGATGTGCTGCTCTCTAAAACTATGCACAAGTCAGGAGGCGGAATCGACCGCGACCTGACCTAATTCTGGTGCTTCCCCACATGACAAGAGTATCCTGGTTAGGAAACTACATGTAAATTTTTTATTGGAATGCTGAGATGAAAAAAAAAAAGTTTAGACACCCTTGCCTTAACCTAAGCATCTCTTCACTGGACCGGAAAAAAGGTTGTGGAATAAATGTAGGCCCATAAATAACACTGTAAAAGTTGGTCTCAGGATCTATTTATTTATTTATGTTGTTTTGCTGTATGGTACACAATAAAGTTAATAGGTAGTAAGTAGAACAAGTATTTAGGCTGATTAGATACTACTGCAAATGTTCAAAAGCCTATGCTCCGACTTGGTGTTTTTAAATTTGGGGTCCAGTATTACCCCCTACAAGCACAAGTATAATATCCATAAAAAAAAAAAAAAAGAAAAAATACCAGCATGTTTTGCTAGGTCAACTAGAATTTTTGAACTTTTGTACAGGGGCTTAGATTTTTCTTACCACTAGCTTCAGTTCACATTTACTTTGATGCTTTTGATGCTGACCAAGACCCAAAACTGGGACTGTCTTCAATTCTTAATAGCCTTTTCTTATTAACTATTCTGGTCTTCAGTTCACGTAAACCTCTGTGCTCATCACCCTGGCACTGACATGAGATTTCAATTTACAGAACATTTGGAGAAAGCACCAAATTTTGATAGAAGTCCTCAGCGAAAGTTTATGAATTTTTGTAAAGGAAAATGTGCAAACTCATATTTACCCAAACCCTTTTTGATTCTCTTCATTTCTGCTTGTGTCCCTCAAGCCCCTGATACCTGTAACATGGGTAGTCTGCCCAACGGCGGGTGTGAGTACCTCTGTCTTAAGGCCCCCCAGATCACAGACCACTCTCCCAAGTACACCTGTGCCTGCCCTGATGGCATGGAGCTGGGACCAGACATGAGGCGCTGTGCTGTAGGTAAGTCAGTCACACTATGAAACCTATAAATCACAGAGTCCGGGAGCACACTTAATTAAAGGGATTGTGCCGAGGAATGTCACGCGAAGGCTACATCGCTGTAATCACAGTGACAGGATGGAGTGTGAGGCCATAAGTATATTAAACTGGTTTCACTCTGAGTGAAAATCAGTCCACCTCATTATTAAGTATTTATACATATCTTTAAATAAATGTTCCACTTTAAACTATTCAGTACATTGGTGGAGTCCTACCATACACATGGATCGCTATGGGAAACATCTCATGTCATTATAGGCTGAAGGAAATACTAAAAGGGTTATTCTTTGGTTATATATGATGACTTGAAACTTGGGCTGTCTTGTCACATTTAATTTAGGTTCTTCTCTCACCACAGCCAGACCAAGTCAAACTCATTTCATAATAGGTTTTAGTTCTAAAGTTGTAGCTGACCATATTGGTATTCCCACATGAAAAAATTTAATATTTGACGAGATCCACTGAATCCTTTTAAAATTCTAAGTAAAATATATACAGTATATGTGTGTATTGAATACAAAAACAGTTATGCATATGAAGTGTGTTCTTGCTAGTGGGGAAATGAACTGCTCTTATACACAATATAGCTTTTATATTCGTAGCCATTATTTGTCTCAAATAACAAAATAGCCTATTGACTGTTGCAGCTTTTATCCAATACCAGTATTCAGTAGTATCAGCCTTTAACAATTCAAAATGTTCGAATCTTATTGTATTAAATATGATTGAATCAAAAGCCAACTCTTTCAGAGAAATTGATACCTGTGCTGACTGTAACACTATCTTGGGAAGTGGGTCAGGGATTCTCCTAGCTTGCCTGTGTTCCCAGAACACCTCCATTATTTTGCTGACCTTACTTCACCGCTCAGCTAGTTCCCAGCCTCTACCGTCGCCACATTTCACATTTGTTAACTTGTTATCCTTAATGAACCCGCTCGGTTGTTGCAGCTCTTGTTTGCACAGGTGAGGAGAAAGGAGCTGACAGAGAGAAAAGGGAGAAAGAGAGATGATGATGTATGTAGGCTACCATTCTGAGAATCCCTCTGAGAAAGGATAGGGGGGGGAGGACATTGCCCCTGAGCATGAACAGAGAGAGAGAGACCATTTGCACTCACAGTTTTTTGACTTCCTAATGCAGTACAGGTATTTCTGCTGAGCACTTATTAAGCCTTGATAAAATGGCCCCTTATTTTATGTTCCTCTTGCTCTCTGCTTTATGTCTTTTGGAGCAATACATTATCAGTTTTGCAGCAACCATGAAATGTTTTGGAAAGTCCCAATCAAATCGCTTTTTCTACTGTCATGTGGTTGTGTGATAATACAAGCAGAAAGGTATAACGAAGGTGGTCTGTTCATATGTGGATAATGCAATATGGATACACAAAAAATGGACCAGAGACAGAGCTGGAGATGATAAAAAAATTCTATTCAATGTATTTGTATAGCGCTAAATCATAACAGAAGTTATCATCATAGAGAGCAGGTCTTATCCTTATAAAATAAAATTTACAGGGACCTAACATTTCCCACATGAGCAAGCACTTGGCAACGGTGGTAAGGAAGAACTTCCTGTTAAGAGGCAGAAATCTCAAACAGACCCCGGCTCTAGGTGGACGGCTGTCTGCCTCCACCAATTGGATTTAGAGAGAGAGAGAGAAAGGGAGAGAGGGAGGTAGGGGGAAGTGCTTTAATAATAATAATAATAAAAAGCCAGTTAGCTTGAGCTAGACACCCTATATACATTATATCTGTGTCATTGCTTTACTGTCACTGTTAAATAAACAAAAGGTGGTTAAAGCATACCTGATATACCCTTCTAAGACGAAGCAGAGGTTCATTACCATGTTTGTCATCCATCCACGTTTCATTATTGAAAACTAGGGCAGAAAAAAACTATAAAACTATAATATTTTTCTGAAATGCATGATACAACATTTCTCTTGTGTCTATTATCCAAATGAATGATTCTAAGCTTAACAAAGTTGACTGCTTTGAACATCCATTTAATTAGCTTCCAATATATGTGATCATTATTTTAACTCAGCTATTTAAAGCTCTGGGGAGTTTGGAGCTTGTTTTAACTTTATAATCTACGTGCTGTATATTGATGCCCAAAATACTACAATCCTTGTTGACGTACTCGCCAGCTGCATCTTCAAGTAAAATCCCAGATGCCAATGATTATTCTCTTGTTTCTCTTTTGCAGTTCGACCCAGAACAACCACAACAGCTGCTCCGACCACCACCACCACAACTCCCACCACCACCACTACAAGCACTACACCAACTAGCACAACTGTTACCACCACCACAACACGCCCTACCACAACGACCACAAGCCCCACTACCACCTCTGCTGCTACGACACTCAGGCCCACGACCAGACGTCTGATGACACCAGCACATCCTCAGACCCCCAGGAGCACCTCTACTGAGCAGCCCCGGACCCCCGCTGCCACGAGTACAGAGACGACCAGTTTCAGCAGCACAACTCAGATGTCCACTTCCACACACACACCCCTATTGGGCCCAGTGGCCCCCAACAGCATTCAGAGAGAGAGCAACGGCAACCTCTCCCACAGAGGTAAGGATCATGGTGAGCAGGGTTTGTACATAGGAATGTGAGTTTGTGTGAAGTGGGTGTATGCATAGTGTGTGTGTGTGTGTGTGTGTGTGCGCTATGAGTGTAATACGCCACTGCCATCACTGCCGCTACCACTTGCCATTAAAGCAGCAGGGAGCTGAAAACCACTACTTACATCTCTCCTCTCTCTTGCTTCTCTCCCCCTTCGCCTTTTTGTCTGACCATCTGTCTATCTACTGTCCTCTTTCCCTCTCTCTGCTTTTCTCTCTTGCACACACACATACACACACTCAGTAGTGTATCTCTTGGTCTGCTTGTTGTAGGTCCCTCGTGAGCAGCGTGTAACAGAGCTGTCAGAGCTAACAAACGACAGTCCGCTCCATTCTCACCTGCCACCTCTCATCACTCATCTTTACTTTCTGACAGCATTTCTCACTCTCTTTGTCTTTCCCTCTCCTCCTCTCTTTCACCCTCGCTCTCCAAAACTGGCAGCCTTCTCCGCAACAATCAAGCTTTACTGGCACACCAGAAAAATTCCGCTTTACAATTTGTTGCCCAGACAAACAATGACAGCAGAATATAACAGCACTAACAATGGTTTACAAAGCCACGCTAAGACTTAAATTGTATTTGAAAGCCAAGAACAATCCTTGATAGCACCGCAAAGCAAAATTGATAAACCACTGTGCTGCACACCACATGGTGTGATTTTGTTGCAGAAGTCTGTTCTTTTCAACGTTCTTTGTGGCCTTTGCTACATAGAGACATTAACATGAAATAGTGGTAACTGTCAGAATGCTGTAACTATTTCAAGTCATTTGTTCCTGTAGAGAGTTAGAAAAAATCACCCTCCAAATAAATTTCTCTTTTAAGTACTGACTCTTACACCATTCAGAGTTTCTGTATGTTCTACTATTGCATCACCCTTTTCAGACCAGTTACAGTAAAACAATGTCAAATACTCAATGGATTCATGCAGTTACGTACACACTTTATAAGAACTTTTGGTAATTTCTGATGCTTGAATGGCCTACTGTTCAGCAGATAATAAAAGATAGAACAGAAGAAGTAGAAGGAAGTAAAAAAAAATGTAGGGGGGTTGGAAAGATTGCAAGCTGCTGTAGTGTTTGAACTCAGTTTTTTTACAATATTGAACTTCCATCTGAGACATTTCTCATTATATTGAGGAACTAGGAGAGCAAGGGCTGAGGTTTAAAAATGCAGAGGGAAAGGAGGAAATAAGGATGAGGAAAGTGGGTGTGAGAGTTGGAGGAAAAGGAAGAATTAGAGGCATAGGTGGGACAGGGAGATCAATAAGGAAAAAGAGCGAGGAGTAAAACTTGTTAAATGAAAAGGTACGGTGAGAGACAATAAAGAGGCCATAGAGGAAAAAGAATGAAGAAAGCACAAAAAGGAACATGACAGCACTTGAACAGGGAGGATGGGAGTTATAAAATGACACACAGTTGGGAGGGAAAACAGTATTTACAAGGATAAGAAAAGGGATGGAAGAGAGGCAGGAGAGAAAATGATTTTCTGGAAATTAAAGAGAACGGCTGCTAGAGTGAGTCTCATCACTTTGGGGGCCTGAGCTTTTCAGAGTTACTAAGAAGCAGGAACATGTTTCCTCCAGTCTCTGAAGTTGTCAGCCTCCTCACCACAACACAAGTGCTCCAGATGAGAGGTGGAGCAGACACGGATGAGAAAATGGGGCATGAACAAGACGCGTCTCCAAACCCACGGGCCATGTGTTATAATTTTCAACTCAGTGCACACTGTCAAGTTTGCCAGCATCAGCTGTTACACATGTGCGGCACTGTGGCTGGCATGGTGGAGCGAGGAAGAACCAAGAGTTTCAGAAATAAAAGATAAACCACAGCTGGTAAGCTCATATGCTCTTACAAATTTGAACCTTCACTTTTGATGGCAGTAATTATTGATTAGTCTGCTGCCTTGCTGTTCAACGGACAGGTTTTGCTTGTTCATACTGTCTCCAAAGAGACTTCTTTATAAAGCGCTCTCAATGTAAGTGATGGGTGACAAAATCCGCAGTCCTTATTCAGTGTGAAAATAAATGCCATAAACTCTATCTGAAGTTAATATGAGGCTTCTGCAGTCACTCAGTTAAACAAATCAAAATGTCTTTCAGAGGTTTTGATTACAGCAAGCAAAACCATTTCAATGTATGGGCACTTGAAGAAATGTCCTTACCTGTCCTTTAATTTTGGTCACCTTAACTGTAAGGACTGCTTTCAAATGGATTTTCCCTTTGACTTACAAAGACATTCAGAATGATACAAATCTTCCATTAAGCTTTGGCTCACAGTGTATGCAGTTGATATTCCAACATATTGACTTTAATATTATCTACCGTGTATACCTTAGGTGACCTACACGATGATAGGGTTATATTTATAAGAGACTGTATGACAATATAGGGATGTAAGTAGGGAGGTATTAATAGAGGCAGCAACAGCTAATTCTTTTTTAACTCAAAATCCCTTCAGCAATAATAATCTTAATGAAACAGAGAAATGTTCTCACTTTCTCTCTCACACTTTCTCTTTGCCTTCACTTTCCAGGACTGCTTCTTTCATAACTGCTGCTTTAAAAAGATTCTATTAACCCGCCCTTTAGATTCTTAAGACCCATTGGACATCACTCATCCTTTAAGAAAAGCCAAATTCACTTCTGCTGAATCAGGACTCAGACGCCTCACTGCTCAGTCTGAAGTCATATCACCTGCTGTGCCTCTTTATGTTAAAGTGTAATTTGTGTGTGTGTGTGTGTGTGTGCATTCATCGAACGGCTTTTATTGCTTTTATGAGAGAAAATATGTCATAATTGTATGTTCCATCCGTCACCTCCCATCTGTGCTTTTTTACGTGCTTACAACTACACAGAGTCTCTTTCAAGAATGAGCCAATCAGTATGCAGGGCCAGCGCTGTGATCTCTTCTGTTGATCTTCCTCACTAGACTTCATTATAGCCATCTGATCACACTTTGGCTAATGGCTAGCCTGCTGCTAATAGGAGGGTTGGGAGCAGGATTAATGTCAAGCTCCACACCGACCTGTTGGGGTGAGAGTTGAAGGGGAGTACGGATACAAAGCAAGAAGATAAACGAATGACTTGCAACACAGTGTCGTGTGTTTATTTTCACTCTCAAGGTCACCTGGAGTATGTTTCAAACCTCCAGTGAAAGATGTATTGCATCCTAAATCCAAATTAAGTTTTGAATTGTATTAGTAAAAACTTTGATGCATTACTCCCTGGAATTGCATTTGTCTCCTCTTGTATTAAAATGCATCTCATTGCATTTATATGTCATCACCCATTCACCAGCATTTCATTTACACATGCAGTCCAAAGTGAAATCAGATGGATTCTCTGCGCGAATATTATGCAAATAAGTTGTTTCCAGCACAATGCTTCAAACTTTTTGTTTCTCTCTAGCAAGACCTTAGGGGAAGGTGTTTTGGAACACAACTTTTTATTTAGTTTTCTTTTTCTTTTTTCCTTTTCTTCATCTCAGCTGCGAGTGATCACTACCTCATAGGTAACAACATCACAGTAGCTGTTCTGGGGATAGTCATTCCTATTGGTGAGTACTCTTGACTTTCTTGCTGTGTTGCTTTCTGCCCGCCTGCTTTTCCCTCCTTGCTTCTCCGCCTCAGCTTGTCGCTCAAGTCCTGCATGTTGTGTGTGGATGTGGTATTTTATATGTCTGGCGGAGTGTGGACTTGAATGTGTGAGTGACTGGGTTTTAGAGTGTTTGTACGCCCACCTGACTGATTAAAATTAGTATGTTTTAGATAACAATTTGTGTCTTAAACGTGCAAGTCCGATGTCAGCCTCAGCAGCGATGCTTGAGCACAAAATAACAGTTTAGTAATTGAGAAAATGTACTGAGCTGAGGTATTATCCAACAATAGCAGCCTGGCCTACGGCTACAAAAAGCCATTATGGGCCAGTAAGCTCGTCAGTGATGGCCAGGCCTTTGCAATGTGCACATTATGTCATTATTAAAGAGATTTGAGCAAACGGGAAATTCAGTTCGTTTTGTCATCACATTTGACCAGCTGTTATAACATTAAGCTTATGTTCCCACTCCGATCATACAATATTGCCCACACTGAAATCAATCCATTGCTCTGACCTATTTGTCTGACCCAGTGGACTAAAAGTGGCTCACGCAGTTGCTGGAATCAGTTTTTGAATGGCAGGAAATATCAAAAAACTGAAAGGAGGCTTAATGAGATAAAATGTTATTTCCCAGGTCAAAATCTCCACTGCTCCAAGCCAAAAACATAATTTCCCAGGTCAAATAATATATTGTTATGGTAGAAAAAACACTAGGCCACCATACTACCGTACAATTAAAATAAGGTAGGCCTTCAAAGAGAATGCAAGTTCTTACAGTCAAACCAGCTTAGTAAAGTTAATCTATTGTATTAGCTTTCATTAAAATGAAAATCAAATTTTATGGAAATATTTAATACTTTCATGCATAACCTAACTAACTAAATCAGCTGCATGTGCAAATGACCTTATAGTAGCTGCATATGTTGCTAATTGAGATCTCTTTCATCCCTAATATTGAATACTTTGATCAATTATGGGAGCTCTAAAACATCGTATAGCAATTTTTTTTTTTTCTTTTCATTCTTGACGATTGAGATATCAGCTCATTAAAAACAACCCCAGAGACTGTTAACCCTTTTCCCTCCAACCCCCATTATGTCCTTCTGCCATTCATTGCTGCCATAAATCCCCCCATTCTGCATTTTTTGGCAGCTTTGACACATTAATTACTGTTGGAGGTCCACCAGGGCCGGATTTCTGCACCCCAGTTCTCCACTCACATCCACTAATGCACCACGCCCACCCACGGCTCCACAAGGGGAAACAGCCCGACAATGATTATCAGTATTTAGCCAAAGTCAGGCTGTTATGCCACTCTCTAATTGGAGTGAAATTTTCTAAATGAGACAAAAGCTGATGTTTTTTTTTTTAAACCAGTGAGCATTTAGAGAAGAACAAAGGAGGATCTGGGGTTTCCAGCCCAGTCACACAGGGATCTCGAGTGCCTATCCAACAAAATAGCAATTAGATGGGGCTTCCGCAGGGGATGCACATAAAAATATGGATGTGAGCATACACACACAAAAATACACACCCACACACACTTGTTTTATCTCTCCTCATTGACACACGTCTGATTTGGCTGTTACATATACATGCACTATGCACACACAGGTCCTACAGGGCAGTTAGGCAGCCATGCTGATATGGTAATGAGTGGAGAGAGACAGAGCTTATCTCAAATCCTCCAATCCCCCTTTCACTCTCTCCTTCCCTCTTCTTCTTCCCCTGTCGAGTCTCGTCTCATAACCCCATCCAAAAACTCCAGAGTCAGGCTGTCTGAAGATAGTGTTTAATTTTTTTGCCCAGGCTAGTGCAAAATTATAAATCATAGCCCAAATGTAGCATAAGAATAATACGGTGATGACAGTTAAGCAACCTTGCTGGTCTTTTTTTCAAAACTCCCCGAAACCCTAATCACTGGCTTCAGGACCTGAATTTTACAAGATTTAATAGAAAAGTCTCTGTGCTTCAGTCTTTGTGTATGCATGTATTGTGTGTGTGTGTGTGTGTGTGTGTGTGTGTGTGTGTGTGTGTGTGTGTGTGTGTGTGTGTGTGTGTGTGTGTGTGTGTGTGTGTGTGTGTGTGTGTGTGTGTGCGTGTGCGTGCGTGGTGTGCACGCACGTGTCTCTTGGGTGTGGAGTTTATAGAACAGTGTGTGTGTGTGTGTGTTTGTGTGTGTGTGTGTGTGTGTGTGTGTGTGTGTGTGTGTGTGTGATGGTCCATGCAGGCATTCATTGTTGCAAATTGTGCACGTGCATTCAAGTTTGTGTGTATTTGATCATTGTGGAGACTGAGATGGAATGTAATAGAATATGTATATAGTGTATGTGTGTGTATATATATATATATATATATATATATATATATATATATATATATACAGTAGGAAGGCTCATTATTTTCGGTTTTTTAAGTAGCAGGTGGATATACAGGATGGATATTGTAATCACATTTTCAAATGTTTTAAAGAACAAACATAACACCAATGAATTCTCCAGGTTTTTTATAACAATGTTGTCACTCTTGCTTTTTGACTCTTGCACATAACAGTGTGTCGAACTCCACCTTGATTTAATTCCCCTACAACCTGGGATCATTCCATCAAAGACAATTTTAAAAAATGAAGACTAAGAAAATAATGAGCCCTCAGTAGATGAAGAAAAGTATGCAAGGTGTGTTTGTGTGTGTGAGTGCTTAAAGCGCCGCTCTGTGTCCCCTGGGCTGTGTTAACGCTCCCGCCGTGTGTTGTTGTTGTGTGTGTGTTAAACACATGCAGTCCCTATCCTTGCCACAGTGGTCATCGGATTACTCTGCACTGGCGGATACCTGGTTTGGCGCAACTGGCGGCGCAAGAACACCAAGAGCATGAACTTCGACAACCCAGTGTACCGCAAAACCACGGAGGATGACGACGACGAAATTCACATCGGGCGACACAGCGAGTCCATCGGCCACGTGTACCCAGCAGTGAGTGGCAGCCACAGTCAGCCATTCATAGCGCTTCCTCTAGGGGGTGGCATCACAGACAGCAACTCTCACTGGTACTCAGGGGCCCCAATGCTCTCCAGCGGAAAATGAGAGAAGCTACAGAGGAAAGGAAGGAATTTGGAATATTTAGGATATGAGAGTATGCGCAGGGGTTTGGAAAAGCCCGTTTGTTGTACATGTAGGCCTGGAAAGAAAGGACAGGCTTGCACATGCACACGCCCACATTCTCACATAATTCTTTCAGTAATCACTGAAGTAATCGTACACTCACATAAGCCCTTCACCAGTACATGATATTCACATTTATTTCACCTTCATGACCATAACCATACAGTACATTTGTTTATTAACATTAAATCCTTGTTGCCAACCTGCCATCCCATTTATTCGTACATTGTGCTAGTTTTTCTGGTCGTTGAAGTGTTTGTTTTGTTACTGGGAGACATATGTTTCTTATAAAGCTCCCGTTTCCCAACAAAACTCCTAACACGAAGCAGCCGATGCAAAGGTTACTCTTTCTTTCAACATGGAGACAACAGAAAATATGTGCATCCTTGTTAGAGAGGAATTTTCTGGATGTTTCTTCGTTATGTTTGCTGCTAAAAATGATAACAAAGGGTCATCCAGAAATTAGAGGGGTACTGAGGCTTAAAAATGACTGCTGTCTTGTTGCAGTATATATGGAAGAGAGATGCATAATGAGGGACGCCCTGCAGCGGCATCTGTTTATTAGTAGGACAAAAATGTTTTTAGTGTTGCAATGCCTTTAAAGAGAAAGAGGACTAGCTGTATAGTCACCTCTGAAAGGACAACAGAGCACAGGACTAAACCATTCTGCAAATAAAAATTTGATTTTTAGAGTGGATAGTAACATCATGATGTATACCTTATGAGAATTTTATGTTTTCATTACACTGTAAATGAGACATGACAGATAAAAAGGGGAGCACAAATCAGAAGCAAGGACAGTCCAAAATAGAATTTCTCATATTCTGTATTGAGTGCAGTTGCAGAAACCATTAATCTCCACATTTCATCAGTTACAGACTACCCTGTTGATTTCCCATTGATGCAGATGCATTTTTGAGCCTCACTTACTGAAAATGAAGCTGCGTTTTCTAAAACCTGCAGAAACAAATGCAGCCGTGCACTCAAATTCACTTAAACATCTAAAGATTGTGTCATCGGGACATTTATTGAATATATTTGTTGTTTTTTACGTAAGGCATGCAGGGAAGGGCAGCCAAAAAGGATTATGGGGGGTGGGAGTCTAGCGCTTTGATCGGTTGGCATGGTAACACAGATTTCTTTGTGTTGCTCCGGAGAGAAAGGAGGCAAGGAATTCTGGGTATCACTGGCATGATGACAGGCTGGAGACACACACTCACACACACACACACACACACACACACCAAACAGGTGCACGACTGAGTCATATTAACATTCAAGGTCGAATTACCAACCACCCGCAGTGAAGGGCTACAGAGAGGGAACTATACTGTCTCTCTCTTGTCTCCCAGTTTTACTACACATATGTCCAAATCTCTTTTATTGTCTTTACATTTTTTTAAACATGTTTTCCTCCTCTCCTTTCCTCTCCTCTCCTTTCCTTTCTTTCGTGGCAATGTGGCAACTCAGACAGCCAGAGAAATCAGGTTGACAATATGTGGGCCAGACATTTTCAGCCGTAGGCAAGCATCCGGCATTCCTCACATAGGAGCAGCCAGAGAAGGGGGGAATGAACAAGGGGGAATTAGAAAGAGGAGGAGAGGAAGGTCAGGGAGAGGTTGGAAAAGTGAGGACTATAAGTAGAAGAAGAAGGAAGGAGCAGGAGAATGGATTCTATACGAACCTGCCGTTTCTTTTCTGGGTGCCGTCTAGACTTGAATCTCTCTTTTTCTCCTGCTTTCCTTCTTTGTTCTCTGTCCATCATGCTGTTTTTTCTTTTTCTGTTCTCTATCTCACCTCTTTCTCTTTCTCTCCCTCCTTCACCAGCCTTCTGGGGTAACAGTTTTTTTATCTGCTGTTTGCAGCGCGTGGCACTCAGTCTGGAGGATGATGGCTATCCCTGAGGGGGGGATACATCCTGCCCCCCCTCCCAATTCCATCCTGGCCCCTCCTCTCACCACAGCCTCGACACCACTACAATGAGGCCAATACAACGCAGACGAGAAAGAGAAGGAGTCCTCATTTTGCCTCCACTTTTAAGGAGCAGGGATGACATGTACATCTTGTATATCCCCCTTCCTCTCCTACTTTCTCCACTGGAGTAACATTACTACCACTACTAGCCACTACTACTTCCCTTAGTGCTAGTTTGTCTGTAGTCTCTGCTCCACTCCTCTCTTCTCTCTGCCTCTTGTTAGCTGTAGTGGTGTGTAAAATGCTGCTTGATGATTTTGTTCAAACTAACCTCATTTGGCCGTCTCAGTGCACATTGTAAATAGAAGGCTGTCTGGCCACCGTACAAGGCGAAAAGCTGGCATGCATTATTTTTAATTGATATTATGACGATTTATTTATTTTATGTGTTTGCTGTTGTAAATATGTAATCAGCATCTCTCAGTGCACAGCACTAAAGGCAGATTTGTTCAAGTCTGCAAGGATATACAGTTCTAGGCAAGGACATCATTTTTCTTCATAGTTCCCTTTACATCTTGAGTAGACATGACAGATTTTTTTTTTTAAACAGGGGAATTTCATCTTTTCTCTCACCCAGCCTCTCAGATTTGCCCCTTGATATGCTATATGTAGGCAGTCAATGCTAAATATAGCCAAGGGGAAAGGAGACAGAAAAATATGATGGGGTTGTCTGCATGTTTGGAGGTGATTTTGGGGTGAAATAGTAAGGCAAGGTGCTTTTTTTGAGGGGAATAGCAGGATTTGTGCCACCAGAGGGTAGTGCCTCAAGGCAAAAAGCAGCAGGGCAGAAAAGGCAAAGGATTATGGGTAATCCTCTCAAAGGTGTGCCTACAGTCGATAATGAATTTGGGATTGTTTGTTCATTTGCGGTGGGTGTTAGGACTCACACGTTGTTTGTCTTTGTGTCTGCTGCATTAATATTTTAGAGGTAAATCTTCATATTCAGATAGCAGAGTGTTATAAAACACCATCCTGTAACTGTTTTGAGATATGAAAATGGTTTTCAACTGCTGCCAAACACAGATATTAGTGGATGAACTTGAGCACCCAATAAACATCAATCCCAGTGTGTCAGTGGCTTCACAGCACTGCGTGTGGTTGTTTTTATCGTGACAACTTCTCCGTCTTTAGTCCCCACTTTTTAACAATGTGACTTGATGCAATACTGCAAAAAAAGAGCCCTCATTTGGAATGACTTTCTGCTGTCACTGACTGCTCAGCGTGGTTGTTAGTGGCCCTGTTTTGTATGGGCAGATGAGTAATACGCCGAGGCTGACTGAGCCGAGCACTGATTTGATTTGAAAGCTGGATAGAGAAGAAGCGTGTAAACCAGCGTAAAGAGCTGATCTTCCATTGGCTTGCCACAGACATGCTTCCAGCCCATTGAATCAGATGGAATTCATGCTCAGTGACTATCGCAATAATTGCTTACAATGTGTTGTAATAGTGAATTTCTAGAAGCTGTCATCACAAGTTAACGTGATAGCTGTTACAAGTAGTTATGGCAAATTATTCCTACTCTGGACATCACTTAGTCTCAATAAAGGGCCTTTTAAAGGTGTTAAGCACACTTATAATGCATTATAAGATATAAGGTGTTTTACATTGTCGAAACTATACATGCAACACTTGTCTTCCATTGAATAACAAATTTGAACAATGTTGCTTTTGTTTGTCACATCCTAAGACGTTTAATAAACCTTAAATATATGACTGAATAACAAGAAAAAAAGGATAGAATTCAAGATGTCTTCCAATAGTGGCCTCGTACAGGCTCAGCATATGTATTCATCTAACTTTACAGACAGTATGTGCATACAAACTAACAGTTGATTAATGGTAATTATTGATGGTTCTCACTGTTTCCTGGAAAAGTTTTCTCGGTATAGATGCTCAGCTAACCACGGGGGAGGAAGAAAGAAACACAAGACAAAGGTAGGCAGGAAATGTCTGCCAGGATTTAGACCAAACTGTATGCAAACAGGTTTATGCTCAGAAGATGAATAGTGGGCCATTTATTTTGCTGGATTTCTGCTGATGTTGTGTTGAAGTGTTCTGACACTCACTCCGCTCACCTCCCTCAAATGGATGGCACTCTCAGTTTATGGTGCACAGTGGGGGATTTGTATGAACTGTATGTGACAAGTGGCATGCCAGACAAGTAAATTGCAGTCCTCTCCAGCACTGCACTCTCCTACGTCTATCTAACGAAGGGGGATTGAGCACAAGGGGGTGGCCATCTCCCTTAATCTTAACTTTGTACCGATGAAGTAAAATAAAATGCATTACATGGTGGGCAAGAGTGTGTCTCAGCTCAGCATGATCCTGGACTGGCTTGGTGGCTTCCTGCAGTGTTTTTTTGGTAGAATTTTGGAATAACTTGTATGAAAAAGGTACATTGACAAAGCTGACAACTGTTATGAATTCTTTATTTTTCATACTTTTTCATAAAAATCTATATATGTCCTAAAGGAAAGATGAGGATGATATAAGATGCCAAGAAAGATGTCACAAGTCAGACATCTTTATGAATTTAAGATTAAATAAATCCAAAAACCCGCTGCTGGACTGAACCCTGAGCTCAGCCATCTCTGCACTCCATGTAGTTTTCTTTATGTCCGTGTTTGCTGCAGGTCTAATGGAGTTCCATACTGAGGGTTTGCAGTTAGGAGTATAAATTGCTTATTTATTGAGGTGACTGAGCCTGGCGTTGTAGAAAACTTATTATGGCTACAGTGTGAAGACAGATTGGTTGGTCCACTTTGTGGCCACCTTGAGGGCAGCCGTCTCCACTGAAGGACACTGAAAAAGTCCAGAAAGGAGCTTTAGTCATTCATCATATAGTAGGTAGTAATTGTAGTGGTTGTACAGGACATGCTTTGATAGTATGCTTTCTGGGCATTCTTGGTTCATATTTTCAGGAATCATTTAGGAGCTAATTGATGCTCTAATGGCAGCATAATCATAGTTTTACTCTCAGTCAGCTCCATAAACACCAGGCTGCAGTTTCAAGGATCAAGCTGTGCACTCTTCCTCATGCTGAAGAGGTCGAAGAATAATTAATTGTGTGTTTATGTACATATATGTTCAGTGATTCAGTTATTGTAATACAGGTATGATGTTGTAGAGGTACGTTTTTTGTTATTTACTTGAAGTCTTTAAGTGTTAACTCAGTAGTTGCTGCATTGTTGCATGTGCAACATAATATCTTGCACAAACGTATTTAACATTAAACCAAAATGTAGTAGATTGGGAACCGGTTGCACCAGCTATTTGTAAGTTTACAAACCACTATATTAAAACAGGATGTAAACCCAAACAATTGTTGAGGTAATGAGATTTGGTTGAGACTTCTAATTGGCACTAGATCAGAATGCTGTTTAATGATGTGCAGTAACTTAGAAGATTTTAAATTACATTTCACAACAAAATAACACAATATACATTACTTAGTATAATTTCAACTTAGTGTAATCAGATATTTCCCATTTTTTATAAATTGTATGAATACTCCTGACTCTGAAAGACATATTTCTACATATTTAAAAATACCTAAGTTACTTAAGTCTTTACTTGTTAAGAAACTCTTCATGTTTTAATGGTGAAACCCGATTTAGTAAATCACTAATCACACGGCAGCAGCTAGTTTGTATAAAACTTTGGAAGGACTTTACACACAGACTTAGTGATAGATTAACAAACAGCTGGTGCAACACAATCCTGGTTCTCGATCAAAACATGCACTTTGGATACATATTCACATGCTCAATAAAATTCCTGTGTTGTGTAGGCCTAGCAGTTTACTATCACAATAGATCAAACTAACTTATGTCAAAACATCCATGACAAGGTTGTCTGGTTTATTTTATTAGAAAGATGTTAAATTAGTAGCTCATCTTAGCAAATTCTAACAGCCGTGATAACCCATAATCCAATCTAATTGTATGCTGTAACGTTCCTGATTTGGTCTCCCTGTTTTTAACTGTCCTGTCGCTCGTCCTTCCCTTCCTCTCTGCACTCTTCTAATGGTTGTCTCCGGTCTCACCTATGCTGCTTTAAACAGGATGCACTGACTGCTTTCTAACATCACTCACATCCCTCTACTACTTTACTTCCTCAAGCACTGTATCAAAAGCAATGCAGCTGTCAGGCTTCAAGTCTTTCTGTGGTTGTTACACTACTGAATTTTAGTTTAAAAAGCAAAGTCAGCATTGCTGTCTCCGTGCACTCTCATTCTCTCACCCTCCCATCTTCATCTTAGCCATCGACATCTTTCCTTTGGCAAGGGCTATCAGTCTTTGGGTAGACAGATACACACACACACACACACTGGACGAATGGGGAAAAAAACACTGGAGGAAATAACCTGGAATCATAAAAATAATAAGGAAACCCCCAGAGCTGTAAAAGAGCCCTCCTGATCATGAACCAGCGAACAGGCATACAAGCACGCTCAGCCAGGAGAAGCAGCCCCCCCACCACCAACTCCCCAAACCAGCTACAGTTTTGGACTGTGGAAGGAGCCCTCACTGACTCTACTTGGCTAGCAATTAGCTCTTCTCGACCCAGTGACTTTCCTTCACTAACTGGTTCCTCTTATTATCATGTGTTTTTTGGACTGTTAGTCTGTGAGTTGTAGTTGTTGCTCTCTCTTTCTCTCTCTCTCTCTCTCTCTCTCTCTCTCCTCACCAAACCGTTCTCAGTTTCATATTTGATCTTCTTGTCGTTTGATTACTTGAAGGGCAGTGTTCAGTCGCCTACATTTTTCTACCAGTCAGTGTAAAATGAAGGTTGGGGGAATAAGACAGCAATGGGGAAGTTGTGAAATATGTGTGTGTAAATCTTTTTATGGGTTGGGATGATGATATACACTGGCAATATTTTGATAAATAACAATAGATTTGGACATTTTGCTTCAACGGCGATTGAGGTTGGAGAAAGTCACTGCAAATGTAAGAAACTATTGGCTCTAATTTTTTGCAAAACTGTCTACCTGCATTTTCTTCAAATGTTGCTGATGTGTCATTGCCTGCAAGGAAATCTCAAAAACCATCCGGGGCTCTGTCCATTCCACAGCCATACGACAGGCATTTTTTTACGCTGTTTGTTGCACAAAACTTTTCAAGAAGCCTTCTGCACTGTGTAAAGAGATAACGTTCTTAGGAGGGGAGGAAATAAAAAAAGGGGGGGTCCAATGGTACAGTCCAATGGTTTTGAATCGTGACTTGTAAATACGTTTTCATACAGCAAAAACTTTTTGATAATGTTTTAAATGTATCTGTAAAAAAAGATGTACATAAACCTCTGGGGTGAAAAGGAGTGTAGACTATATATGAATTTATTTGTACACAAGAGCACTGGATTTATTTACTACTTGATTGTAACTAAAAATTAATAATCTGCCAAAGTGTTTTTACTTTAATTTTTCTCCTGTCTGTTCCTTTTGTTTTTGTTTTGCTTTTTAACAGCATTGCAGATTTTTAGTGTTCATACTGTATTTAATTCTGTTGAATAGATTTTGTTGTGTGTTTAAAAAAAAAAAAGAGGGGTTATCATTTTAATTTATTGGTGCCTTGTTTTGTGCTCCTGTATACTTTTACTCTTTCTGTTTTTCTGTGTTATGTGTCTGCGGGAGGGCATGGGGGGTTAACTGGCGGGTTGGTGAGGGACGGGGTGGGGGGAGTTAAACACTTAGCAACTTCTGTACTTACATGGAATATCTGTACTGTATGCCAAAATGGTCTCACTCACGTTTCTATGAAATCAAGCTGTTGATAAATATCTCTATATATTGATATATTAAATTTATAAAAACTGTCCAACCTTTAGTTTGTACTGTTACTTTATTTCATGTCTGTCTGTGTTACATCTGGAGGCTGCCTTCTTGTTACATGGTAAAAAACCTTAGCTCATCATTAATACAGAGTATTGCATTTAGTACCTTCAAATTCCTAAAATCAAACATCACAGAATCATAAGCTTTTGATTGACTGAATGTCCATGTGAATTATCTTTCTTGTAAAACTGTAAGCCAAGGTAGCAATTGCTAGAATTATCATTACCAAGAAAAATACAAGCAACATAGGAACAATATTGTTGACCATATAAACATTGTGGAGACCCCCTAGTTATGGATATAGGGGGGGACTGTGGATAGTGCATTGTCCACCTACCAGATTCACATATCAAAGACCCTGAATCTTCTGTTCAATTATTTTGCAGCTAAACAAGACATTTTTATGATATGATTATCAATTTTATTTGTACAGCACCAACTCATAACAAAAGTTCTCTCAGGACATTTTTCAAATAGAGTTGGTCCAGACCGTACTCAGCAATATTTATGTACAGTTATGTTATCTTTCTGTTGGATATAATGTGTGACATTACGTTATATAGTTTGGTAATAAGGTAAACAGGTGGCAGTTTTGTAACATTAACATGTAACCCTTTCCCAGTGTGTTTTACAACCTCTGTCCTTAGACTCATGAAAAGTAAAATCTCCATCATGCAACAAGGTATAGGTATTATATATATGTTTATTTTGCTTCTTTTTTCTTTTTCATTATGGGGGTTTTCATGAACTTGGAAAATCCTGAATATTCTCACAATCCTACATAGTTTTCCTATGGTTTATGGTTTATTGAATTGCCACAGGAGGGACACTATGGCTTACTTTGGCCTGGACAATGAGACACACTGGTGAGTTTTATCAACAAGAAACAAAGTTAGAGCTGATGTAGCCAGTTAAATTTTTGGGAAACATTTTAGGTGAGTAACTTCAAAATATACTTTGTTCTATACATTTTATTGTCTAACACAGAAAATACTATACTGCAAACAAAGGTTATATTCACCAGAAACACTGGGCTGAATGATTTCACAAGGTCACATGGGTGATTTTGACATTGACACTGAAAAAAAAAATCTATTTGTGTCTCTTTGATGATGGATGAAAATGTCACCAGTACCCCCCTGGTTTGTTTCCTCTTTGTCCACAGTGCTCCAGAGAAGAAGACAAGAGTAAAGGGGAAGAGAAACAGGACTGAAGAGCCAGGGTAAAATGGTCTGACAGTATAAGCAAGTGGGAAAAAGTAACAGGAGACAAGGGATCTGTGTGAGTTGAGAGGAGTGACAGTTCACTGGGGGTTTGACGGATGAGCCGGCGGGGAGAGTTGGCTGAGGATATGGGCGCTCTTTGGCCTGCCCATTGTTCCAGGGTTGCTGTTGCTCTTCATTGAAGATTCAACCCTGCCAGTGCCCTGCGCTGTCATCTCCCAGAGCATCACAGAAGCCGAGGCAGCTCAATGGTTTCATTGAAGATTCATGATAACTGAAGGACTCGTGGTAGATCAAAGGGTTATGGTGTTACAGGCTGTGCTCCAAACTGCAGTGTCTGAGCAGACTGTAGCATATTTCAGGCTCTCTCTTTGCTCTCATCTTGCCTTTCGCTCTCCACTGTGTACATTCATTCAAACAGACAAACAATTCTCTCAAATGATTATGCTTATTCATGATAATAGAGTTTGTGAAAATGTCAATCTGCTGCAAGTTCATGAAAAAAGCATGAGAAGTTCTTCCAATTGAACATCCATCCTATGTTTGTGTTGAGACTGCAAATCTGATGGGTCAGTATTTGGATTCTAAAGCTTGAATTTTTCTTGTCAGATTCTTTACACTGGTTTGATCATTTCTAGTTAAAGTAAATAAATCCATCAGATTCAATTATAGACTTTTCAAGGGCCAATTTTAAAAGATAAAATGTATGTAATCCCAAAGTAAACAGGTGCTTTAATTTGTGATAATGTTCAGTTGTTGCTGTATGAGGTTTTTGGTTAAATGCCTGAAATAAGGTCTGTGGTTAATACAAGCTTAAGAGATTGTTACGTTTAGTTCTACAATGTGAAAGATGTCAGTAAATACACCACCTGTGAATTTTGAAGCTTTTACATGTCAAATGCCATGCCAAAAAATGAGACAGAGGTTGTCTGTGACATTAAACATCAGCACGCCAAACACGGAGAGTTATCTGCTCACTGGTCTGCCCTTAGAGCGTTGTTGTTGTGTTTATACTTACTATTCTAACCCAGACTTTCCAACTTGCATATTTGAATTAGATGCTTTAATGACGAGTTAAAAGTTAAGTGGTGGAAGTTGAAGTCACGCCACCATGGTGCAGTTTGTTTTTAGCCTTCTGGCAATTGAATTCACACTTAAAAAAATCATAAAAGTGGTGTGAATTTGTGAAGATTGCTGAAGAAAAAGTGTAAATATCATAAACCTTTGTTTGCCACAGAGCTTATTTTTTGCAATAATACAAATTGAAATTGATATTTAACAACAGTCAGTGGAGTAATTTATATTGTTTTTCTCTGAATCAGTTTCTCCATGTATGACGTTGGTTTACGTTGAAATAGAGGTCGAAATAGAAACTATAGAAATTCCAAATTCAACAGTTGCCTCATGTAGACTCAAGGAGAGGTGTTTGAAATCAGAGTTTGCAGGGCAATCAACCTAAACATAGATACAGAGTCCACAGAGAGGCCACTTATAGCCAAGACTAGCCTCCACCATGATGGCCACGGCAAGCACTAGTTAATGGCCTCTCTATGGACTCTGTTTCTATGTCCAGGTTTATTAGTTGCCTTGAAAACATTGATTTGAAACACCTGTCTTTGACACTATATATGATGGTTGGCTGCTGTCCTGATGAAAGCAGTGTGCTAGAAACATTGATTTCCTCAAATTTTAGCTTTAAAAAAATGAATGCAGTTGTGTTATGATTTGGCAGGTTTTCCCTCTTTTATTTAATATCAGTCTGTGAGCCAGTGCCTTAATAGGTGTGACTTTCTCCTCATTTCTTCCTTTAAGTTAAAAAATTATGCCCCTAAGTGAAGATATTAATTGATTTTGTGAAACTGATTCAGCAGCTCTGTATGCAGCAAGGTAAAGCAGCCAAGAACTGCTGCTGCACTGAACAAGATTTTCTGTCTGTCAGTATTTTCTACAATTGCACCTCATTTTGCTGAGGTCATAATATAGATTTTCAGGGATGCCTTTCCTAAACAGAACTAATAATTGTATAGTTATATAGGTTAATATAGTTAGTAAACAACTCACTCACTCACTCACTCACTGTCCTCTGCTTAATGGCACTAATGTTGGACTCCATTAGTTAACATTTGGATTTAGCAGGGCATCCAGGTGGTTGAGTGCAGAAAATCTCCTCTCTCCACCTGTCACTTAAAAATGAATAAAATATTTTGGGAGCCTGGAATGACAACTCTACTTATGAAAATGATTTCAGAATAGCAGAGCTGACCATAGTGTGCTCACCTCCTCCTCCCCAGAGAGCAGTTATGTCAAACAATGGTGGCACAATTTTGGGTGCACTTTTCAATTTGTTCTTGTGTTTTTATAAAATGTTTTATACCTAGCCATAGATTGAAACGCAATGATTTAAATCTAATTTATAGTAGTAATTTATCTATTTAATCTATCAATTTGTTTTATTTTTGTATTGTTGAAAATCACCCCTCTCCCCCATGCATTACATCGAAGCATACAAAACTCTCAAATACAACATGCAGTATATTTTTGCAGTTTGGGTGCAATATATTTAACTTTTTTAATAACTGCAAATGGCACAAGGAGTGGGACGTCTCTCAAACCAATTAAAGCACTCTCTAAATCAATATCTTCATATTACACTAGATTAGAAATGACTCCTGCACAGGAACATAACGTCAGCAGGAGGGGCTGCCCCGGATGTGTGCATGCAAGAAAAAATCTTTAACATACAGGATCAGCATATATGGGCTGAGGTAACTTGGTAATAACTTTAGTGTTTTATTCAACATCTTATCAATGATGCATCATGTTTCAAAAACTGTGTCCATCCTGCCCATCCTCAAAATCAGCACCTGCCAAGGCTTTCTCGATTCAGAACTTCATTACCACCACCAAGTCCATATTAGTGGGTTAGTTGCTGTTCTCGGAGCACAAGAGGACATGCAGATTCCTTTTTTAAACTAAATTAGAAAACAGCAGTCAGCATAAACTGTGTCAATTCTGTATAAATGTGCCTGGTGAAGTACAGATACAATGCTGCCTTGCTATCACTACTGGACACTGTGTCCCCTTTTTATCTATTTTTAGTCAGTTTTGGACTACTTAAAGTTAAGACATATACTATTTTGATATTTTATTTTTATACATATATATATACACACACACACAAACATCATCTCTCTGTTAGGTTTCATGCTCTGCTGCCCCTGCTGGCTGGAGGCCCCCACTACACTAATGTTATTACTTCCAAAACTGTGAGTGCAGCAACACACTAAACCCCAAACTGGCTGCCAATCTCCTTGGCTCTTTCATCCAAGAAAGATTAATCTGCCATTTTGTTTTCGAGGCACAGCACTTTCAGTAAAGCAGAGTCTGTGCTTATGTTTGCTGTAGAAATTCTTTTTAATCATTCTCTATTATTGTTTTCTCTCTTTTCCCTTTTCATTATTCTCCTCTTTCTCTCTCATTACCTTCCTTTCTGCCTTTGTGTTGCCTCTGAGAGCTTTGCTGAGGAGATGAAGGTTTATGGCATCCTGTGTGCGAACAGTTTCACAGAATGAACAACCGAAGTGTTCCACAACCATTGCAATAAAATGTGATTGTTAAAAGCAAATTAACATTCAGTCTCCCTCCACCCTTTTCAGTTCTTTCCATTTGCATCAGCTCTTTCCCGACATTTCCCTTCTCTCTGTCTCTCTTGGTCCATTTCATTTTACGTCTATCAGCGCTTTTGCTCCTCCCTTTGTAACACTTTGTGGCACCTTTTGTTGCAGTGATAAGGTGTTTCCACATTGTGAAAGGAGTCAAATCGGTTAATTTTCCACATCTGGCCTCGTAAAGTTAATGCAGTAAAGTCTCCCTCTGCTTTAAAAATGCAGTGAACACACAGCCACCCCGCTGCCTCTCTCTCCCTCTGTCTCCCTCCTTTCTCTGCCTCATGGATGACAGTTCCTATTATCTCCTGGATAATAAGTTGCACAGATTAGCCATGGGGGCAGACAGAGGAGCAGGGATATGGCGCACTGTATGTGTGTTTGTTTGTGTGTGCCTGTCTGTGTTTGTCAGTGTATATGTTTTCTGCATTTGTGTGTATCTTCCTCAAATTCGCAGATTTCTGTTGAGCTGTGTGTGTAGTTATTAATGTTTGCCTGTCTGTATTTGTGTGTGTGTTTTTGTCTGAGTGAGATTCTCTTTGTCTGTATTCAAGGATTTCTGACCAGCTGTGTGTGTGGCCATGTGTGTCTGTATTTGTGTCTGTCTGTATAGATGTATGCCAGCATGTGTGTTTGTGTCTGAATATGTGTGTGAGTATGTGTGCACTCACTGGAACACACTAGAGGAGGAGTTGATGGGCTAAGTGCCATTACCAGATAATTACAGCTAAAAGTCTCCATGCTAACAAGGATGGCTCATCATCTTGGTGTTGGCAGACAAAGAGGCCACAAGAAACATCTGCAATGCAGATTAGGAGCACTTGTGTGTAGGAGTGCGTTTGTGTGTGTACATTCTATATTGTTCTCTCTGTTCCTTCTTCCTGTTTCTCTATATGTGTGTGTGTGTGTGTGTATATTTAGTTACTTGCATGCTGATGGGATTACTGTTAAGCACAGAGACTCACATTTTCAATAAGAAACCAGCCTCTCAGTGTGTGGTTGCTTGCGAGAGGTTGTACACACACAAATATGAACACTGTATATCAGTGTAATTGGCTGGCACAGGAGCCCAGTGTGAGTTGAGTTTGAGGGCATCCATACACTACATAAAGTGGATGCCTGTAATGGGCTCGCTCTTCACTCCCTGTGATGGGCTTATTCCCTTCATAAATGGTGTCAGAGGCAGCCAGAAACAGGAACATAAAAATGTATAAGATGCAATTACACAAAAACACCAAAACAAAATATTTTACCCTTTTGTGCTGCAGATGTTATTTTTGCATATATGTGAGAAATAAATGTAATTAAATATTCTGCCTGCTGGGATAGGTGATGGTGTTCAGACCCAGAAGTACCACACTGATTTGCAGTCTGCCCATTAAGCCTTCATCTTTACAATCCCTTGGCTTCCGAACAGCAGTTCATGAGAAGAGAACAACATCATTTTTACTCATTATCCTCTCTTCTACTATCCTCAGTGTATGGGAATACTTAGAGTGTGGAAAAGGAAATTCAAAATTGCCTCACTATGTGTTTGTGCGTCCACATGTTTGAGTGCACAAGCACAACAGTGTGTATGTAATTACTGCAGCCGGAACAACTTAAAAACAGCACTAACACATCATCCACTTCAGTTAAGAGCAAATCACTCCTCCTCCCTGGTTGTGATTAACGGACATCTGTTTCCTGTAAAAATAAATTTCCAGTCCGCTTTAATTAATCCATCAAATCCTTCAAATAAAGTTTATTATTGTAAAATATAATATCCATGGTTAGTGTGTTTATTAAGAATATACTTGCAATGAACTTGATGTAACCCATAGAAATCCATGGTGATATTTTTAAATTATACACTAACAATACACACTAGCTGGTCCAGTTCAGATCCACTGGCTCACTGTCTCAGTGTGTTTTAAACCAAGTGTCTTAAAGCTGCATCTACCGTGTTCACACTTTAATATGAATGATTAAGGAACATAAGACAAACATAATTTAAACTTGGAATTATTTCATCATGTTGAAATTACCTATCAGACTAAGCATTTTTATACCTGGTTAAGCCATGTTAGTGAGTAATTTAAGTTTTCTATTTCTATCTACAGTCTTGTACTTCATTTTATTTTACTACAAAAGTGACAAGAGTGCAAAGCTAGTGTCTTCATTAGTAGAAATAAAATAATCCCACGTATTGCTTTAAAATCAGACACATCTGATACAGAGTCTATTGATAGCAGGTGTTTCCATGCAGACGTGCTCCCTAAGGAAATCAAGCAGTTAACATGGTGTAATGATCAAGGTTACCTAATGATTGGCATTAACTGTCCATCATGTTAGCTACCACGGCTGAAAGTAGAGAACTCAGTGCTTTAGAGAAGACTAATGTCTTGAAACGGTGTTCATGCTCATACTTTACGTTCATTCAGAAACTTTTCTCATTTGTGCCATCAAGATAACCAGCTGATCTTAGTGACTGGCCACACACCCATTTAAATAAAGGTACAGCATTACCCTGACACATACTATTCCAGTTGCTATGCTAATATTGCTGCACCCTTTAACTCTGGTATATCTATTGCAAGCTTCAAATAAGGACATGAATGCTGTACTTACTACTGTATTATTTTCATTTTATGCTACTTTATTCATGCAGTTATAACGGCCTTAACTGAGCCTACAAAAAGTGACACAAAGGACTTGCAATGGTTTTATTTCTCTACGTGTTGCATTTTGTTGTTTTTATGTTAATATGCACCTGTGTGTTAAATTTAAATACATTTAATTGAATTCATATTTCCTTTTCACTACATTTCAGAGGCAATGTTGCACTGTTATACTCCAGCATATCTAACTATGCTTGATGATTGACTCTGATTAAAATTTTACAACAAAACATACCATCATCTTAGAAAATATAATGCATTGCTGTAGATGCAACTATTCTAAAATATGCAAAACAATTACAATGAGGTCCAAGTCCACCAGTGACAACCTGTGGTACCTGTGAGTTTTTGCCCTCTGCCCCCACAGACATAGCTAGAATTCATACTTTTATTTTAGTAAATAAAATGGATACTTCTTCCACCAATGATTAAGGGTTTATAATTTCTCATTGCTTTCTCTATCCCACATTCCTGCCTGAGAAGCAGTTCCCAGTTAGGAAGGTCTATCATCCCGGTCATAAGAAGTCAAAGACAACCAGATGTTTTTTGCCTCATCCAAAAGTCTTCTTTTAGCCTAAACCATCCCCACCTTGAGCCCTATGATTCAAGATCCTCACCAAAGCCAGGTACCTCTGACTTAGCACTTCTAGATGTTTAGACGGAGAATGAGACAGTTGTCCTCCCTGAGTTAGCGTTCTTACCACACAGTCATACCACCATCTGCTGGTCACTGTTTTTCATTACACCATTTGATGGCATAGGAGTACAGACCACTGCATCCACATGCACGTCAGCATCCAGAGGGAACTGTTTGAAAAATAGTTATTTTGGTTGGGAATATTAGTAGAATGTGTTTCAGAAAGCATAATCTATGATGCATAACATCACCTTCAACATTTCTAATTAATTTATATTGTTTGGTATATTTCTGTTCACACACACATTGTTTGATGAAGCTGCACTGTGGTAATATATTGTTACAGAGCAACCTTTTTGTTTTGTTTTCCCTTGTTGAAGCTAAAATGAACTAGTCTGTCCTGATATAACCATCTCAGCACAGATTGCCATTGAGGTGTCTAATAGGAAATATTGTGTATCAAATTGCATATCTGACATGCGTTTTTTGTGTTTGTATAGTTTAGCTTAAAAGAAAGGAACTTTTGTCCATATACTGTAAAATATATGGTTCACAGCTGTACACTATTGACATAGCTCTTTATTTTCAGTTATGATCATTTGGGAAATGCACAAAACGCTTCAATCTGTTTCTACAGACATTTCAGATGTGAATAAACTACATCATGTTATCTTTGCAGTAACTTCTGTTTTCGGTTGGAAATAATTGAAAACAACATTCAATATTTTAATCTTCATATTTATTTATTTAGAAGTAGTTCTCTGTAACATATAAGCCCATTGTACAAGGAATATTTTAGAGAGGTACAGGTTTTTACATTTGACTCTGTCATGTACATACAACTTGATTTTCAGTACTCAAACAAGGGAGACATTACCCTTATAGCTTAAGCCAGTGTCAAATCTGCTTCATATTTTCCCCACAAATGTTAAAGGTAGCATTAAAGGGCACATGACACAGTCCACAACCTTGTCAAATCACACATGTACTATACCACCCAACCAATCAGATAGATGAATAATCACATCGTCAGGGAACACTCAGCATAATTTCCAATCATCCAAATTCCCCTCCAACAGAATCACTGGAATATTTGTCCATGCATACATAAGTATACTATATATGGTAAAAAATATAGCATTTGGAATAAATACTTAATATAATTTTTAGAGCAAACTGTCAGACAATACTTGTTATATATTTTTCACAATACTATATGTACAGTATTTGGCTGAATTTACAGAAACAGATACAACTATATACTTAACCCCCTGTGAAACAGATTTGATTTCAGTTCTTTGGTGTTAAGCCAGTTATGAAACCTTATTACATCTGGGTCACACTGGATTAAACATATGGATTGTGACTTATTTTAAGACTTAATACACAGGCACGGAAGACCAGATATACCAGATATTTCACACAGCACAGATCAGATCATCCTTTAGCTGTCTGAAATGTGGGAAGCTACACAGACTATAATTTCCAATCCCTTAATATACAGACAACCAGTGATGATCAGATGTGCTGCACAGAGTTCAAAGTTTCTGATCCTGTGTAAATGCAGTCTCATTGTTGAGGGAAAATCTGTGCTACTTTGTGACTCAACAAATTATAATGATCTGACTATTAAGCCACTGTTGAAAAATTCCCATTGTTGCTGAGTAAATGCAGCCACTCTATATACTACTATATAATCAAGATATTTATATAATATATAATATATATATAATAGGTCTATCTTCATGTCAGTCTATACAGTCCCATATTAGCACCCACATTAATAAAGTGTCTGGGAATGAGAGAATACTGGTGCAGGATTAGGATTCCAAAGGATCAGTGGTTAGAGCACACTGCATCTCAGAAAGAAAGTTGAAAAGCTTTCTAAAAGTAACAATAAGAGCTGAGATGTGTGAGTTGTCAGTAACAAACAAATGCTGTAGAATCACTGTAGATTTACTTTCTGACTGTAAATGCAGACATTTCATTGGCAGTTGTTAAAATGAGTGGTATTCCCCTTTAAATTCCGCCTTCAGTAACCCCAGCAAACCCAAGTCACCATTTAAAGAGGCACTACAGCAAATTTAAACATTTAAGTCAGCTTGCTCAGCTTGCTGAGTACTACTCAGCTTGTGAAAACAGTTGTATAATGTTTTCAATGGATGAGCTTGTCAGTCAGAGAAAATAACCCACATGGTGTCATCAGGGTTATCTCGAGACTAAACATTTATGACAGAAAACCTCAGGATACCTTGGCGTCTGCTGCTTCTATTTTTTACCATTTTCTTTTTAAAACTGTCTTAGTTTGGAGGTGCAATACAAAATTGCTGGAGTACCCTTTTAAAACTTTAATTCAAATGCCGACCTATAAAAATGAAGTACGGTTATGTTCACCAGTCAGTGAAAATGATTGATCCCTTTGTTTCCTGTAAACCGTGACGGATGATATCTGCTGGGACCACTGAAGGGGAGCTGTTAAGTTGTAAACATTTTATCAGACCAGTATTCCTGTTTTAAGATACTTTAAGAATATGGGTGTAAGTTTGTGGAAAACAAGACCACACTCCCTGAAACACATCTCACCTCTAAAATGTAGGATGGTCATCTGATTAAGGCTAGACCGAAGCCCACTCTCCCTACCTAGTGTCTGATTGAAAAGGTAGTATTTCATTAATATTGCTTCTTTCAGGACTGCAAGCCATAAATAACCCTTTACTTTCAGTTTAAAGATCTGTTCAGTTTACCATTTTACAATATTAATTCCTTTAGGCAGGAACAAAGTTAACTAGTGTTAATATCTTTAAGACAGGCAGATCAGATCTTTGTAATCAAGATTTTCTTAGTAACTAAATATCTTTAGTTGAACGTGGTAAAAATATCCAGACTCATACCTATGTTTGATATATCCACTGACAGCCTATGGCTCGGTTAGTCCCATGATCCATGCCAGTATAGTTAGACTTGCTACACTTTTTCTTGGAATGTATCACAGCCAGCCTGACATTCATTGTGCATTTTGTAGCAGTTGCATACATGATTGATTTGAAACGAGCAGGCGAACAAGACATACATTATATTTCAACTGAGGGACGTTGAAGGAGAGAGATGTTAATCATGAGAACAGACAGTATTACAACATACTGTTTAGTACTACAAGACAGCCAGTAGGGGGAGTAACTGTGTATTGGCATGCAGCAACTTCTGAACAATACAATCTTCTTGTTAGAAGACTTTTGTCTTTCTTCATTCTGGTTATGTTGTGATTATAAAAATCATTTATTTTGTGTCCAACAGAAACATTTTATCTCTAACAAAACCATCTGTTTTTCAATAATTAATTACAGATGATGATCAACCATATCCTGTACGTGAAAAACATCACTACTATGGCAAAAAAAAAAACATTAAAAGATGTAAAATATCCAATGAATGAGGGAAAATTGACCAGAAGTTCTATTCTTTTATATCATTTTCTAATTTGCACTTTTGGATATATATAGTTTCTTCTGGACATCTATATTTGAGAGGACTATTTACTGTTCACAAACACAATAAAAAAAGTGCAGTAGAAAATACATTTTCTGTGTTTGTATATGATTATAATCTGTTAGAATAACATTCTACATAATGTTCTCAATAATGGCTTATGTCCAAATATGAAAAGAATGATGTCAATGTCGTAAAAGAACAATAGAAATGATGTCATATTTAATATTGTATATTTGAAAGGTAGATCATGTGCTTAGTATTTTGCTTGAAGAGCTAGTTGATGATAGAAAGCAGCAGTTCGTCAGAGTATCTCTTCATCCACTTTATATTCTCACCTGTCCCCGAAGCAATATCCTGTCAATCACACTTGTTACTATGGCAATGTCCTATCATCTATCTGACCAGCGCCCTTTGTTGTCTGTCCACTGAGTGGTTGATGCAGCATATCTATAAACACCCACAGGGCATGTTGGCAGAGATTTGGAAGAAACATGTGGGTGTACATTGCTGGACACTCCAGTATAAGAGGTTTATATGTAGTTCCACGGTAAACAGAGCATATCCAAGGGTCATACAGAGTCTCCATTGGTTTCCTTAATTCAACCTTTTCCTTCTCTGTTGGTGGGCAGAGGGTCTTGTAAATTGAAGAGTTTGGGGGTCGGCTAGCTGGAGTGGTTTGGAGACGTAAACAGGGTCGGACTGGCTCAGAGGAGGTCTGTGGTAGATGAGGGGTCAGAGGCTCGGGTCTCAGCGTTGGCCTTCAGAAGGTCAACTATGTCTTGGTGGGAGGCTCCTTCTGCCACCGACTGTGCTGTTTGTCCATTCTGGGGGAAAAAAACAGAGCGAAAATGTCACAATTTCACATCGAAGACATTGCAGTGACTCTCCTTATCCTGACAGTGGCAGTGTTGTGTTGCATTTTTTTCTAGCAACTGGACATTACATTACAGAGTATACACTGCATCTGCCCTAATACAGGCAGTACTGCCATGCTATAAACATCACTGGAAGAGCTGGGTTCAGTATTTCCTAGAAAAAATGGAAATTGAAATGCCAAATGCCAGTTTAGATTATGATCTGTCACATTTTTGTGAATCTGATCTAATTTCTAAGCAAATGTCACGTCAAAAACAACGATGCCACAATATCCACGGATAAGCTTCTTTGCATCATGCAGAAATTGCCTGTGTAATAAGACAGGGGTTAAATAATGAGCCCAGAGAGGTTTTGTATGGGAAATGGAAATGGGCGAAATGTTCCAAGGCACATAAGACCTAAACATCAGTAAGAAATGCTTGACACTTTAATATAAGAATGTTCTAAATCCCTTCTCCAGACAAACAAAAAACTATAAAAGTCAGAAAATAAATTTTTTATGCTTTTATGGAGCAACAAAAGTCAATTTTAATACAACACAGGGGCATTTGTTGTGTATACACTAGCTGTTAATTTTCTTTCATATATAAGCTACAACCTATTTTAATCACAATTTTCAAGTCACATGGATAGTTTTTCGTGTCACTGCTCTCATGGACATTTGGACTTTGATACTGTTGTTTGTGAATTTTTTTGTTGTCAATTTTTGATTGTAGATTCACCAATATTGGTGACGTGTCAGGTTTATTTTTAGTTGCTGTATTCATCAACAGCTCAGACATTTATAGCTGCCAATTATCAAAAATTAGAGAGTTAAATCTATTTTTGCATCCTTGTGGATCACATTCTTCCTAAGATGTTGCTGGAAATCTCCTGCAGGCACTTCCAAGCTCATCTAGTTTGAGATGGGTTTTAGACATCAATTAAGACACATAGCTTTAAATGTTCCCGGCTGACTGAACTGGCATGTAATGTGTGTAATGCATATAATAGTGACTTCCTGCATCATTTTCACAGCATGTCTTGATGTTTAATTCTTCTAGTCAAAGGCTAGATATTAGATATTTCAGCAAACTAGAAGAGACGAGGCTGCATACTGAGAGAGACTCTCATGGGAACACAGATGTCTCAGAACAGTGTGACACACTCTGTATTACACTTAGTTCGTTTAACAGGTTTGTAAAATTTACATTGCTTGACTTACTTGCATTTAATGTCTAATTGCTTGCCATAGCTGTTTAATTCCTCAGAATTGATATGATGTTTTGTTCCCCACTACCACTAAATATAGTGTGTGCTCATGTGTTGTCATGGAGTCAGACCGCAAATAATCTACCAGAGGCACATGGTTGAGTTATAGGATGACTGCAATGTGTAGACTCATCTCACACGGTACCATCAAATCCAGGTTAAACAACCTACTTAACTGTTGCACTGAAGACTTCTCAGGATTTAGGCTAATTGTTGAGAACACCTGAAGTGTATCTGGGACTGGGCAGGGAAAAGTGTAGAAATGCTGTAATGTTATAGTTGTGTCGGAAGCAGTGACACGTGTTGAAAGTGACAACTGAACTGGCAATAATTGCATCCTTTGGGAACTAGAATCAAAACCCACAGTTAGACGCAGGTGTGGAGCAGCAGGTGTGTTGCAGCAGTGTTAACAGCAGTGTTTACAGGATTGTTTGCAAGGGGTAAGTGCACAGCAGAGCAAGTCTTGATATGGCAGTTCTCTGACTGGTTACCTTAGACTGTAGAGGGCAATCATCAATCTAAAGAAATCAATAATGTACTAGGTCGAACAATCAATCTTCTATGTATGGGCCTGGCAGTAGCTACTTGGCACGTTAACCGTTGGGGCAGCCTAATATGTAGTGACATATTCTACAGTATGTGTGAGTCAGGCATTAGGAGTCGTGTGGGCTATTCATGTAGTACAAGCAGCAGATAACTAGCTGTTGAAATGGTGCAGTGATCCTTGGCTTTTCAGTAAAGAATGAACCCTTATGGAAGAGTCACCATAGTCCAAATTAACCCAAAGACCAGCACAGGCAGGGAGTCTCAGGCTTTAACCTTGAGCTACCCCTCAGTACGGATCAGTGTCTTCCTTGCCCCTTTGCTCCATGTATAAATTAGCTACTGTGGGGTTTAGAGGTGAACCACCTTTGAAGCCATGTTTCTGCCAACAGTCACTGAACATATCTGTTGTTGGTTGAGCTGCATTCTGTAATTTATACAACATTGTGATATATTTTTAAAACTGGCACCACACTAAGGCAATAGTTCACCCATGGGACCGTATGCTTAAACATCAGGGGAGCCACACTGTTTATGCAGTGAAGTGCAATGCAGTGATGCCTTTATGTCAGCTGTAAGAAAATAAACCACATTGAGGACTAAGAGAGAGAACGAGCATGGAATCTGAACAAGTTCTTGAAGAGGTCTTATAAATCAGACTGAATCAGACAGTCAGTTGGGGAAGGGACAAAACATTTAGAAGGCATCTCACCTTCTAAACCACCTCAAGAGAGGTGAAACATCTTCAGGTTTGCAACAGTCCAGTAGACAGTGTCATTTCAACTTTACAGTATAACAATATACCTTATCTTTGAGACTGAGGTCACAGTGACCTGTCTCCAGCAGCAGACGAACAATGTGTGTGTGTCCGTGTTCGCTGGCACACATCAGGGCCGTGGAGCCCTCGCGGTCCTGGGCATTTACATCCGCGCCGGAGCTCAGAAGCAGATTCACCATGGCAACGCGGCCATGGCTCACCGCAAGCATGAGTGCCGTCTGGCCTGCCTAGAGAAAGAGTGAGGAATATAGAAAATTATGGAGGAAAAGAGGGATAAAGGAAGAACTATATGAAAGTAATTTTTGCAAAGTTCTGCATAAAGATGAATTTCTTATTCCATATTTTTTATTCAATTTTTATATGTTACTATATTCAAGAATGTCCAATTAGAACATTTATTATAAGGGTTCCCATGGTTTCAGTATGCTATTCTTTCCCATGTACACATGTTGTTTGGTTTGCACTATAGATGGCCTATAGATGACCACAAGCATATATAGATTACCTGTCTGGAGCATGCATTGACGTCACCCAGTTTCAACAGTTGTTGTGCCACCTCCAGATCATCAGGGGTCTCAGCAGCTGTCAGAGCAGCAAGCATCACTGGAGTATAGCCTGCCTTGTTCACATTGTCTGTCTCACATAGACCTGAACACACAAACACAGGGTTTTACTAAGACAAAGACAGCATTTTGTGTTTTTGTTGTGCAGGGTCTAACTTCCTGATCTAGCCACTATCTTTAGTCTATCTTTAGTTTCTTTATTTATGCTCTTCAACAGTGTGAATCGATGTGTGTGTGTGTGTGTGTTTGAATCTCACCAGTATCCAACAGCAGTTTGACCACAGGGAAGTTTGAATGCGACACGCTGTAGTGGAGAGCCATATTTCCATTGCCGTCTGTGAGGTTAACTACATATGGCAAGAGAGTGGGTGTGGTCAAGCTCACTTGTCGCAGGTATAATCTGACGGTATCGGCCTGTGAGTCTTTCTGACTGGAGACCCTGAACCACTCCTGGTAGAGCACCACTAAAACCTGACGCTGAGGAGAGAGAAAAGATACAAATGATACAGCCGCCTGTGGCAGCATTTCTATTGTTCCCTGAACATGACTTTTACTGTTTGGGCTGTTGAGCAGCTTGTATTTTCAGCCTGAGAAATGACACTGTAAGCCACATTGCTCCGCATTATTCTACTCATTGAAGTCAAAGAGCTTGAACAGAACATCAACAAAGAACCTGAGGCATTTTCCATAAACAAAAATCATTTTTATCACTGTTTCAGAGACAGAATTTGGAAACCAAAGAGGGCATCATTTTTCCAGCATTACAGGGGAGATTACAAAAGACTATTGTTGATATAGCGTGAAGGACAGATTGACAACCATGAACATTGACTTTGCAGTGAATCATTTTCCGCAGCTTTGAAGAATTAAAATAACAGCCAAAGTACATTCTTACCATTTCTTTATCTGGGGATGAAACCTCCTCCATGCGGTCCTTTACATAGAGGCAGGCGTCTATAAAATTCTTGTCAACTTTCTCCCTGGAAACAAAGATCAGATAACAGAAAGGATGAGCTGTTTTTGACCCATCCTAGATAATCTCCTAAATATTTTTTGATGACCAGGAGTATCTGGAAGTGAAAAAACATCCAAATTTGACCTGAAGCACTGTACATCTGCTCTTTCTATTGTTTTATTTATTGCTTTTTCAGGTTTAATGTGGAAATACCATCAAGTCTGCATAACATATGGCCAGACGGCTACTTTGGCTCTTGTGTAAATTCTGTCTGAGACAAAAACAAAAGATAAAAGATGCCTCTGCAGTGTACACACACATCAGTCAGTAGCCTGACACATTGATACTCATGCAAACCTCGACTGCAACAGTTTACGCTGATTCACTGCCCAATAATATCCACTAAGTGCTCATACTGCTCGTCTATCATGCACAGTCATACTGTACAGCTCAAGCACTAAGCCTGAGTGGATGACACACTCAATGTCTACTGTACTACAGTAACAAAACACACACATGTACAAGCACACACACACAAGGCATCATCAGACGGGTGCTGAGTGATGAGTTAATATAACTCCTGCCTTCTCCCAGGGGCCCCATCTACTGTCTGGCCGGGAGCCCTCAGCCATGTCCACATACCTGAGAGAGATAAGTGGTCAATCAGTGACAGGGAGGACAACACTGCTGGTTATTTGCTTTTTGTCCCAGACCCCTTGCACTTTAGGGAATGAAGTGTGTATGTGTGTCTGTCTGAGACATCTATTAGAGTGAGAGCAGCTTACGTGTGTAGGAGCAAGTTATGTGTGCTTGTGTGAAGCTTACTGTACATTCAAGTGTGTGTGGAAACAGGTGTGCATTTAGTGTGTATGTGTATGACACAGAGGCTTATAGTGTGCGAGTGTGACAGTGAGTCTGCGCAAGATATTATGAGTAAGCATGGTTATACGAAGTGGGTATGAGTACATTTTAATTGGATTTGTGTGTGTGTGTGTGTGTGAGTGTGTGTGTGTGTGTGTGTGTGTGTGTGTGTGTGTGTGTGTGTGTGTGTGATGCCCACTGTACATTTAAGTGTCATTCAACACCTTTCTCAGATAGACCATGTAGACTGTAGCTGGACACAAAGCACTCCCTTGTGTTTCCCAGACATCACATGTCTTTATGGACATATTGGATGGCTTTAAGTTGTTTTAATTATATTCCTTGCATTAACTGTGTTCATATTCCTCCATCCACTTCATGATATGAGTGACACTGGGAAGGTGCATTGTTGTTTCATTACTTTACATATATGAGAATACTTTGTGTGGTTGCCATGTTTATTTTCTTTCATTCAATTTGATGGAGAGCATGGATCACGGTGAACAGACAGTTTGCAGTTGAGATGGCTTTGCTAGATGTGTGTTACTGAAAAAGATGAAGATGACTAAGCCTTTTTTTCAATGTATTCTTCACAATCAACAGAGGCATCCAGGTGGTATCTCTGTGCAGGCTGCGTAGCTATGGCGTAACTTCTAACTAAATATAAATGAATCTTTATTGTCTGTCTCACCTATCAGCCTGTTCTTCCAGGAGCTCCTGGCTGTCTTCTGGATCCATCAGCCCTCTTTCAGCCTCCTTCTCTGCAGCCACAGCACCTCCTGCCTCAACTGAGACCTCTGCATCCTCCTGCTGGGTCTCTCCTCCGTCCTCAAGACTCTCTGTTGGCTGAGGTGTTTCCTTCTCTGCCTCTGGTTCTGAGCTGTCTTCCTCCTCCACCTCCACCTTTGGCTTCTCATCTCCACTGGACTCTTCACTGGATGTCGTCTCATAGCTGAAGGACACAAACAAATGGACATATGCACAATTTCCAAAGTATAGACACCAAAAACATTTACATTATACTATCTATAATTAAGCGTTTGCATACTCCTGCCTGTGTTGAAGTACTATAGGTGACAGCCTTTACCTAAAAAGTGAGAAACTTCTCCTTAGCTCAGAAATGTTTCTTCACTAAAAGTAAGCATGTGTACAGACATTATACATAAACACAAGCAGACACATCAATAAAACATCTAAGCAGGTAAAAATGAATATGAAAGCAGTAAAGTCAACATAGGTCAAGGCTGGATAACTACAAACAGGTCATTCCCCTCTACACCTTAAGTGTAACATGAAAGAGATGCTTGTCTAATACAACTTTGGCCTACATGTCCAAAACATCCTTCCCACACGGTTAAACATATACATGAAAATCTATAGGTATGTTTGCACATATGTAACCTTGGACAAAACACAACCTTGTTCAGTGAGGAAAGGTTGGTGATATATTTAGAGCTGTGGAGGTTTCTGGTGTAGCATTTGTCCATGTGTGTGATCATTGGGGTGTACCATGAAGGAACCAATGATCATATAAGTCTAATAATGAATGCCACTGATTCATGCTTATTTGTGGACACACACACACACACACACACACACACACACACACACACACACACACACACACACACACACACACACACACACAGACACACACATGCACGCACATGCACGCACACCAACACACCACACCACAAGAGGCATTCAGGGGCCAAAGCATTCCCTGGATTCCTAAGGAGCTCAAGGGAGAGCAAAGATAGGTTAGAACATCCAACGACAAGAAGTACAAACAGCAGCCCACTTCCTGGTGTGGGCAGAAGACTAAAGATAGTCAGAGAAAATATTGTTGTCTGACATGTTTGTCTCATTATAAATAGCATCTGCTTACTTTCGTTTGAAATTAACCAGTGTAACATAGACATTGAGAGATATTTGTTGTCTAGAACAGGGGTTAAAAACTCAAAATAAATGAACTAGATGTGTTAATACTGGTGTCCTTATCTTGTGAAATATACCTCATGAATTATCAGTAGTACTGTAAGGATATCCTCCTTTATAAACAAACACTATTTGCTCTGAAGAATTGGCTATGTTTGCAGATCATTATAAAACAGGGAGGAAGGAATAGACCTCACCACAGCTCTGACAAAACATAGCAAAGGCGAGCAGGTCATAAAACAGTGAAGCTCAGGAATGTAAGAACAGGAGTGCAGAAATAAAACAAATCTCCTCATGGCAGCCATTTCCTTGATATGTAGGATGACTTTCAAAAACAAGTAATGAGGAACATTTGGAATATAGCACAGAGAAAATGAGAAACAAATGTATCATTAGATGTGTACATGGACCTAAAGAAATTCTGTTTTACCACTGTATTGATTGATAAAAGGCAAAAGATTTATTTTTAAACTTTTGTACAATCCATTATATTATTATACTCTTATTAATATGCATTTGGTTATTCTTGTGATTCATTAGATAGCTTTACCATCTTGTGCGATTTCACAAAATGAAAGTGAGCACACTGAAACATTTAAGATGAGACTTTGTTCAAATGCAGAAGGCTTACAAATATCTTCAGTGCTGGTGCTTTGACAGAGAAGTGTATTGCTGTTGTGTGCACAACTGAGGTAATTATAAATATTTGCACTTGTAACTCTTGAGCTTTGTATGTTTTTATTTGCCTATAAAAGAGTATGCGGTCATAATGTGAACATTGTGAGGACAAAGGTCTGTCTGCATCCACTTCCCATCTGGGGAGAAAATCTGGTTCACAAGGCTAACCACTTTTTATTTTAGGACTAGACTTGGTTTTGGTCTTACTTATTTGTTTAGGCTAAGGGTTAGGATTACACATGTAGCAGTTATGGTTAAGGTTAGGGTAAGCATCCAGGGTATTTATGTCTGTCAAGTTACACAAACGCATGTGGTGTTTGTGTGTTTACAGATGCTTCATGTTGCACCAGACAACTAACTGATTCAGACAAGCCAGAAAGAGATCTCCCTGTCTTGAGACACACCTTTGTTCTTCCAACCGCTACCATCTGTTTACTTAAAATTCATCAGCTTTTACGAACCCACATATGCTGAAACACACTCACACACATACAGCATCAGCAAACGCTGACATAAGCACACTTGCACAAAGCACTGAGGTATCATCAATACTGACAAAAATATGCACACACATCACATAATGTAGAACACATATTCATACGCACACACATTCAAGCTCCCAGTAGCAGCAGTGAGGTCAAACTCAGGGCAATGTGTCTTTAAATGAGCTGTGAGACTAACATCATGAAGCAGATGTGTGAGACACAGCTGGAATTAGTTGACAGTCACTGTGGTCAAACTCAGATGAACAATGGGAAAGCTGTCACACTCAGCTAACTGAAAACGTAAGAGTGTGTTAGAGTGCATGCTGCATCACTAACAAATAGTCTACCATCTGTCTGAAGAAAATGTGTACAAATAAGTTGTAAGCAAAATAAAGGATGATGAGCTCAGGTTTACAGGTTACACAGGTGTTATTGTCTATTCATATCCAAAGTTTAAGATAAAACATGAACTGCCTAAGATGGAGAATCTTGCTGCTTGAAAATCCAAACTGCTGCCCATGGATTACTAAATGTAAAAACAGAATCCTACTAACAAGGCCTATACGGGCAACAGATTTGAGCCATTTTTAAAATGATCTAGCTAGCTGTACATCATTTTTAAATTGGACATATACTGTACTCTTATTCACACTCTACCTCTGTGAATAATTTTCCACAGTTTCCTGGCTCATTTTCCACAGTTTTCTGGCTAACTGACTAATCCATTTGCAGAATGTAACACATTAAAGCTGACAACTCTGAAATACGTAATCCCTGTTTTTGAAAAATGTCTTAAATTAAATCAGGATAGAACAGAATATTACATTCAGCTATCCTGCAACAATGCCCACAAAGGATACCTAAGGGTTAAATTTCCTGTGAGAAATGAATAAACTAGCAAAACATGCATGGACAGACTAATAAAGATGCACACGAACACAAAGCAGCCCACATAAAGATATCAATCACATATTTGGATGCTGATTAAAAAGAAGATTTTACCCTCCATTCACCCCAACAAACTTCAGGTTTTTCTTGGCTCCCTTGTTCCCCTGCTTGTCAGCAACACCATTTTTCTTCATAATAGATTTGAGACCTGGTGAAGAGGAGGACAGAGGGAGAGGGAGAAAAAGGGATAATTCAGAAAAGGGAGGGTGGGAAAAATTCATTAGGCCTTTTTGGAATTTGAGTGTGTGTGTGTGTGTGTGTGTGTGTGTGTGTGTGTGTGTGTGTGTGTGTGTGTGTATTGTCTGTGTGTGTGCACGATTCGAGAAAATTCATATTCTGTATTCTCATACCAAAACGCAGTAGATTGTTTGTCAGTGGCTCAGTAGTTAGGGAGACATGATGTTCATGGTATTAGTCAATGTTGATCCTTGAGCCATTACACTTTGAGCTATTGCTAGATGCATGATTTCACACTCACTTAAATTATACTTGCACCTGCTGTCGATGAGTGCACAAATTCATTGAGGAACTTGTAGACTGGTGACAAATTTAAGAATAAAACTGAATGAATGAGGAGGGAAAGGTCCCCCAGAGGTCACTGAGTGTTATGAAGACAATGGAAATATGTAACACATATGTGGTCTCTGCAGTTTGAGCACTTATGGGAGATTTTGGACTGCGATATTCAATCTCCAGTGGAGTTCCAAAGACTTCTTTGTCACTAGCTGTGTAACAGTTACTGTAATGACAAGCTCTATACTTCAATAGCCTCTATAGAAACATGTTTGCCCACCTACAAATGCGTAGCCACTGTTGCTTTTTCTGTCCCTCCAAGAGTCATATATAACATTTTCATAAATCAAAATAAATGTTTTAACTTTCAAACATAGATGGATGAAACATTTCTGAGCTGTGTATTTTTCTGTCCAGCAAACAAAACCAAAACAACTGAGTCTATAGAAAGGGCTGAGTAAAAGTAATACATCAAACTGATATTGGTAGATCATGAAACCACAAATGGTTTGCACATGTTGGCTGTATTGTGCAAGTGTATACAGTATGTCTGCCTGCTTGTTTCTGTATGCACGTTTGTGAGTCCAATGTGTGAATGTATGTGTATTTCTTAAAAAACAGTCTGAGCCTGGATGATATTGAAGAACCTCTGGTTGCAATTACAAGCAAGTATAACTCATCAAATAGTGCAGAATCGCTGTGTTGGCAGAGAAAGGGGAAGCTAGGGCCCCATCTGTATACTCCATACAAAGACAAGAATAAAACCAGTGTGAATGAATAGCACTACACTGTCAAGAAGAATGACTTTTCTTAATAAGTGTCTGACAAAACGCTGAAGACATTGAGTATTTAAGGATTATGAAAGTATGTGAGTACATGATGACAATTAAACCAACATTTGTTTTGCTATAGGACACTTAAGAATTTGATTTTAAAAAACTTGATCAAATCATCTCATTACTGTAGTTATTTTGACTCTACAAAATTTAGGACCACCCAAAGTAGTTCCGGGGCAACATACACAGATCAAGATTATAGGCCTTAATGACAACATACAACCTTGACATTGTCAGAGCTCCTTATGTTTGTAACTGCCCTATAATTGATTCTGCATGTGCTCCTTTGCTGACTCCCCCTGGCTCTAAGCCCGGTAAGGCTGTCTTAGTTGTGCCTGACAGCAGACATGGTGCAGAAGCACTGTAATGTTTTATGCAAGTACATAAGGATGTGGCTTTGAGCCAAAAACCACCAGCTGAAAAGAACCCACCGACCACCATCTAAGAAGAAGAATGCTTTTACATCCAGTGTCTCTCAGGAGATAGCAGCGGGAGAGGGAAGGTTTAGAACATATTTGGCATTTTAATACAACCTCTTGCCATCTTCTAATAAATAAAACAATGGTGTAATTTAACCTTCCCTCACTGTGTCAGAAACACTAATTTCACTCATCCATATAAATCTCTAAAGCTCAACTCGAGTCTCTGATGACTAAGATGAGTTAGAGTAGAGCAACAGCAGTGGTTTCTGTTTCAAATATTAGTAAAAGTAAAACACGGATGTAATTTGAGGTGAAAAAAGTCAGGTTAGGAACCTCAGATGTCAAAGATGTAGAACGCAACCCCAAACAGTGACAATTTTGAAAGAACACATACTATATATATATATACGTACACACACACACACATACAAAACACATAAAAGCACCCTTATATACCGTACTCCCAACACTGAACTTAAAATGAACTCTGAATATAAAATATGTGTGTGATAGCAAAGTGATTCTGTATTTCAGCTCCTGGGCCAGAAACAGTACAGTGAGACATCAAGGGAGGGAAGAAAGGCATCGCCTGTTTGATGTGTGTGTGTGTGTGTGTGTGTGTGTGTGTGTGTGTGGTCTGTGCTTGAGTGTCCATTTGACTGTAAATAAGTGCTTGTATGCATATGAGTGCACTTCCCTGTAGGAGTGTGTTGGTCTTTACTGTGTGAAGCATGAAGTACATATTTTATATACTCTTGGAGGTCATTTCACCAGTGCTTAGTAACATGTGTTTTTCCATTCTTGTAAATGAGAGCCAATAGTTACTGCATTTTTGAAACACAGTATATAATGCATATAGACATGCAAATGTAGTGCCACCAATGATGACTAAAAGCACATTATGATGCACTATTACTTTATTTTACCATTGTTCCAAATGTTACTGTAATTCAAAGCAGCTATAAATATAAAAAGGGCTTGTACATGTACATATTACACCTGGAATATAAACTACAGAGAAACAGGTTGTGCAAACTGATCCAACAACGTAGATGGACAGAAATGAAATAGAAAAGGAAATCTACTAGAGGGAGATAACATAACTATGAACTAGAAGGCAAGGTAGATATTTTCTCTTTCCCAAATAATTGGGAGAGAATTAGAGGGTGGATGTGACAATTATGAATTCCTTAGACTACTGGCGAAGTGACAGATATTACATTTCAGACAAGAGGAAAATGAAATCCTCTTTCCTGACTTTTTTCACTCAGTCACAATGACAGTGATCAGTGTTTCTTTGTGTTTGGGTGCATTATGCGTCAACAAACAATCAATTAAGAGACAAAATCATTACGTTGGGATACCAATGATTATACAAATGGCTATGTGGTTAAATTTAGCGTTGAAGTCTGTGTTCTCATGATAGACACAGATTAAGTCCTAAGCATCCTAAAAAGAAGTCAAGCAATACCTTTCATTCCTACAACAATAATCCTTGTGTTGATATATTACTGTTGATAGAAGCGCTAAAAGACATGATTTGACAGCACTTCAGTAGAGTGTTTCTAAATAATAGAATAGGACGGCGTGGTTTCAGGTTGCAGTGAAAATAAACTACAGGCACCAAGAAGCAGACCAGCTTGCTGTACACGCACCACCTTGTTGTCAGTTTGATAGTAATAGTGAGTGTCTTATATCAGCGGTGTGCTGATATGCGTTCTACCTGAACCACTACACAGCTTTATACAAGTAACACCACAGAAATCTGTCAAACCATTCTGGCAATGTTTGGCTACTGCTGTAGGCCTTGTTCAAAGGAGAGGTGTAAAGACGGGAAATTATTATTCAAGGCTACTGAGTTGAGCATGTACACATCAATTATGACTTTTTGGCAGAGATCAGAAGGGATATGTAATTAAGTGACATGGAGAAGAGGAGTTGTGAAAGAATAATTTCAGTGAATATGTGAGAGGAATGGATTCAGCTCTTTGAGTCTGATACAAGTAGGTAAGTAAGTATATGACTGACAGATGCTCAAATGTGTGTACAGTATAAACCAAGGGGTCCTAACTGAACCATAGGCCTACCTTGTTCTTGCTGTTTGCTGGCAGCAGCAGCTTTCTGGCCTGGTGAGTAGAAGGCAGAGAGGACACTGAGGGAGCTGACCAGTTGACTTTGAATAGAGCTCATTTTGGAAGGACCAGGCTTCCCTGCTGGTTTCCCTGTTGTTGCTGCAGGGACTGCTTTCCCCGCTGGCTTGGCTGGCGCTCCTTTGCCTGCCTCTGCTCTTTTCCCTGCCGTCTGTTTCTGTGTGCTAGGGCTCTCCTGCTGGCTGGCCGTCTGTTGAGTTCCAGAGCTGCTCCCCAGCTGTGCCCACTGCTCCCCCAGAAGCCCTGTTAACCGGGTTACGACTTGGCCTAAAGCCGCAGGAGATGTTGGTGACTCACTGGAGCCTCTGCGAGGGGGCTGGGCCTCACCAGTGTCCCGACGTGAGGCTTGGGCTTCACTTGAACCACGACGCTGGGCTGTTTCACTGGAACCTCTGCGCAGTGATTGCGTCTCGCCGCCATCTTTGTGAGGGGGTTGAGTCTCACTGGAACGTCGACGAGAGCCCTGAGACAGAGGTTGGGTGTCACATGAACCCTGGCGAGTTGCACGGGCCTGGGCTTCTCCTGATCCACGACTGAGAGGTTTTGATACACCGGATCCCTTCTGTGTTTCTTTCAGCTCTTTCGAGTTCCGTCGAGGTGCAGTAGTTTGAGACAGGGCTTGAATTGATTTGGGCCGGGTTTGGACTTCACTAGAGGCTGGAGAGGTCTCAGTCTGAGGTTGTGATTGCGATTGTTTCTCAGTAGACTCCCCTGGAGGCTTCTTTGCTAGAGTGTGGTCTTCAACCTGAGAGGGAGATGGGGTGAGAGGCTTTATCTGTGGTTCAGACTGCTGTGTTGGGGTTTGAGTTTCGAGCTGAGGTGGACCCAGTACCTGCACCTGGGACTGGGATTGCTGTGCTTGAGTTTCACTGGATCCCCGACGAGGCTGTACAGGTGCAGCCTCAAGTTGAGGTGAAGGCTGTGCTTGTTCTGCTGAGGGTTTTCTGCCTCTCTGGGGTCGTACAGGAGCTACTGCTTTCATAGCTGTATTCTCTGCTGTTATTACAACTGTGTCAGTTACTACAGTGTCTTTGATTGTTGCACACACAATCTGACCTTCTTCTGTTTGTTTCTTCTCTACAGTCTCCACTGTAATCGGTTGTGTTTCAACAATTTCTGTTACCTCACTCTTGGGGGGTATCATTTCTTTTGTTTCTGAGTCAGTCTTGGCCCTAACCACTTCAATCTTAGATTCTGTATTTTCCCTTGCTGCAACAAGTGGACAGGTAAAGCCTTCATCCCGGCTTACAATATCTGAAACTACAGTCTGTTCAACTTTGCTTTCTATAATTGCAACTGAACTCTCTGTGACAACTTTCACAACCACGCTTTCACTGTCTCCACTATCTCTTTGAATACTTTCATTTGCTTCCTTATCTTCCACTCTTTCACTGACCACAGTACCTACATCTTCTACTCTTTCACTGTCTGCATTTTCTCTCACTTGACTCCCTGCTTCTGCACCTCTGGCTGGATTGTTATCCTGTCGTCTGTTTATCTCTGTCTCAGTCTGCTGGTCCGTTCTCTGTGCTCGCTCTGTCTCTGTCACGCTGTCCACATAATCCACTCTCTCTGTCTCTGTCCCCTGGTCTACACTGCTGGCCCTCGGTCTTTGTGGATGATCTGTTACTGTCTCTCCCTCTGTTTCTGTGACTTGGTTTACTCTTTCTGCTATAGGTGTCCCGGTCATCTGATCCTGAGTGGCGATCCTCTCAGTTACTGTGCCCCGCTCCATGCTGTTGGCTCTGGGTCTTGGTGGGCTCACAGCAGCTACTTCTGCCTCCATCTCTGAGACCTGTTCATGTGTGTCGACGTTACTAGTGTCTGTTTCTTGATCTATACTTCCAGTCCTTGGTTTGGGAATGCACACTTGAATACAGATTCTATCTGTATCTGTTCCCTTATCTATTGTACCAGGTGATTCTGTCTCTGTCTCTTGGTTGGCAAAATCTACTTTCTCTGTCTCTGTCCCTGTGTCAATACTTTCTCTTCTTGGCCTGCTGTGTGTTTCTGTAGTACACACCTCTACTCTGATTCCCTCACTCAGTTGTAGTATTCTCTCCTCTTTTACCTTGTTCTCCTGTAATTGTTCTTTCAAAAGAGTATTAGTTCTATCAAGTTCTTGGCTAGCTTGAGTAAGTTTAGCTTCCAGTATCATTAGCTTATCCTGTAGCTTCTGCGTACTATCTGGGTCGTCAAGTTTTTCTGTTTTTGCTGCCTTACCGTCCTGAATACTGCTAGTCTCTGCATCTTTTATAGCCACCATAAGTGATGTTAATTCTTGTCCTGCAATGTTGTGTGATAGCTTTTGCACTGCCTGCTGCAGTGGACTCTCTAACATCCCTTTTTGTTTGTCTGGTTTTTCTGACGCTTGTGTTTGTCTTTCAGATTTTGGCTGTGTTTCTCTGTGTGCTGAGGAACTCTTGACAGATTCCTGATTTATTTCCCTCTCTTTTTGTAACACTCTACTTTTCTCTGTCACAACTTGTTTCTCTTTTCCTGTAACCAGCTTTGTTGGCATGTGCTCTGACGCTTCCAAACCACCGGTGGGTTGAGTAATCAGAGCTAAGTTGAGTCCTTCTGAAGGTCTGTGTCCTTGTGGCTGTGTGTGTGTCCCAGAATCAGAACATGGTACTATAGTAGAGGGTGCTGTGGAAGCTTGGGCTTGGGCTTGGGCCTGGGCATGGGCTTGGGCCTGGTCTTGGGCCTGGTCTCGGGCCTGGTCTTGGGCCTGGGCTTGGGCCTGGGCCTGGGCCTGGGCTCGGGCCTGGGCTTGGGCTTTGACTTGGGCTTGGAGCTGAAGTAGTAGCTGCTCTCTTTCCTCTCTCAGTGAGCAGATCTGAGCCTTTAGTTCTGGGATGGTTTTGACCTGCTCTTCCAGCTCTCTGACCCGCTTCAGTGCCACTGTGATCTGCTGGTGAAGCCCTGTCCGATCCTGGGGAACACACCGTCTCTCTGTTATGTCTGGTGAAGCTCGGAACATGTTCTCTGTTGAGCCGCTCTCCGGCGTTCCCACAGTACGGTCTGGACTGCTTGAATCAGAACCTTTCCGCTGCTGTAGGGTGATGGGCATGCTTGATGCTCTGAGCAGGTTCGGCCGACTTTGAATCCCCACATTTTTCTCTTCAACATCCCGAGCCCCAGCTCCTACTTCATCTCTGGGCTTAGATAAAACGTAGCCAGTTCCTTGACCGATTGGCCCCTTGCTGGAAGTTCCTCCTTCACTTGTCCTGAAGTCAAAAAACTGTTGGACCTCTGTCACCCGTGATTTAGGCTTTGGTCCCAGGGTGGATGTCCCTGACCATGTGTTGTCCTTTTCCTTAGGGGGTGGCCTGACTCCATGTCCAGGAAGACTGAAATTTCTGGGCAGAGTGCTGAATTTAGGTGGGCCCTTGACCCTGCGCTGAATGTGGACCCTTTTGATGGTATTGCCTTTTTCAATATCGTCAACATACTTAAGGAAATCCAGGTCCAGGTGGAAGCCATAGGGAGTTTCCACTGAGTAGGGCAGCTGCTTCCTCTGAACACTGCCCTCACTGGCCTTGGTCTGAAAGCCGTTGGCTATAAGGAATTAACATGAAAATAAATCAATTAATCAATGCTTCTCCTCCTACAACTTCAGTTAAAACAGTGATAGCTGAAATTAGTACAATGCATTTACATGTGCATTTGCTCGACAAAATTAACATGATTATCATCAGCATTATTATTCCTTTTCACCCACTTGTACAGGCTGTACTGTGCTGCACACATGGTACTTCATTATGTAAAACCATATCACTTACTGGGAAGTAATTATCATGCAGTGATTGCGCCAAAACAAACTAATCAGCATGCAAAATGCTGCTCATGCTGTGTCAACTTATGAGACAGGGGGCGGTTATCACCTGAAGGAAATAAAACCTTCACTGCTTTTGGTTGTATACAGGAACAAAGAGTTAAATGTTTGACCCTCAGAAATTGTTTTGTATAATGAATAGGAGTCTAATTCTAAAATACATGATCATTTACTGTTGTTACACTTCTTCAAAAATCTGATTTGTGGCACAAAAAGTTAGAAGAAAGAGGATTGTTTGTTTAAATACAGGTTTAGTGACACTCACCACTTTTCTTGTCCATCATGGGAGGCGGAGTTCTCAGTCATCGACTTGTGTTTGCTGCAGTTGGAGCTGGCAGCCTGGATTAAACAGAAATGAGAGAGCTGTATGAGAAAATAGAAAGAAAGAAAATATTATCCATCATCATTGTCCAAACAGTACTGAATTCTATATTCTGCTGTGTCAGATTTTTTCAGGAGAATGACAGATCTGTGAAATCAAATGAAAGAAGGAAAGTGTCTGGTCCTTGTGGGTAAGGTTACAGAAAATGTGCAGGTTGAAATATAAGATGTGTTCTTTGTTGAAATGAGTTGTTTTCCAAGATCCACTGTATATTTTCACTGATTCAGTACAGCAACTGAAAGAAGACACTGACTCATACAACAAGAGAACAAATATTTGCCTCACTGAGATAAGATATTCAATAAGTTATATAAGACCATACTCTAGCCTTGGCTAGGTTAAAAAAGAAAAAATGGTAGAAAATATGTTGACATATGTCAAATCTAACATAAGCAAACACAAAAAAAATCTAATATTCATGCAGTAATATTTGAATGGCACAACACAGAACATTTTTATAACAAATAGTTGCGTTAGAATTGCTCAGTATACAGCAGTCCACATGGTTATACTGAGGTGAGGATTATAATATAATAGTATAATTATTAGGATTTATCCAGCTAAGACTTGTGTCTCGTGTCAGCTATTTCACCGAAGACAACATTATTATACCAACAGCAAGTTATATCGAGAGACAGAAAATATTAATAGAACAATGAGGGAAAAGGCAGTGCCATTGTGTCCATTAATTTAATTTCATATGTCTTGCTGAGCCAGACTTTTAGAAGCCACTTAAAGTCAACACAACCTTAGACAGGCCCGTAGAAGGGAACATTTTCCATTTGGTGCCACTTTGTATCATTTGTTCCAGTTGGAGAAGCCAACAAACCAGAGCCACTTACCCAGTTTTTACAATGAGCTTACTGAACTAGAGGTAAGTGAGATGGAAAACAATTCATCGAGGGGAGTCAAAACTTTTAAGGGCTTATGTAGCCTAAAGCTTTCTAATAAAATATCCAATACTAATAATAAAACCCAGGCAATTCTCCAGGATTTGAGTGAGCTGCACAGTTCAAATCCATTAAATGAACACTTAAGCCCTTACAGCCAAATATCAACTTTAAGGCTATTTAGCAAATAGGCACACGTTATTCATGTAATTTCCATGCAAATTTGTGTTACTGGAGAACATATCTGCAATGTAGGAGACATAGCACACAAGTGCCCGAAGCACCAGTTTAATTCATGCTAGAATTCAAGCTTCCACATGTGAGCCAGTTTCAGAGGTAAAAATGTGTTTTACATTATTTTTAGTAGGTGGTTTACCACAATTTATGCAAATGAAATGAGTCAAATGTGAATTTAAGAGACTGTGTTGCCTAGAAATATCATAAGACAGTGCTTAACCTGTCTTGAGTTAGTAAAGGGGTACACCTGCTGTGAATAGATGCAATGTTGCTTAGCTCTTGTTTTTCTTTTGCCTCTCAACTCAACTGTAATGTTTTGATTAAGTGTGGCCTACAGGTTTTGTTAATGTATAATAAAATAGTAGCCGTACAACTAGGCTTGATAAGGTTGATGTGTTAGTAATAAACAACAAGTATTGTGGAAACCCCAGTACCAGTGTGGCCCTGGGTTACAGGATAGTGCAGATGTTATAACTGATTTATATTTTAATGCAAATCGTAATAATAATGCAACAATTTGTGTTTAATGGTGTTTCCTCTGTCATATCATGTCATTTCATTTGCTATTTTCATAAAATGTTTACACTCAGAGAAGATAAAGGTCTTGTGGGAATATGGAAACACTGTCTCTAAAGAGGCAGAGTACTCTTTTGAAATGACTGATTTGATGTTTCACACAATGTGGAACACGCACTTCCTCACTGTATCTTTATCTACAAGAAAATCTGTGATGCTAAAAACCAGTTGGCCTTTTCTCTGTAGCAGATAATTTTCTAGTTCCTAATCAAATTTTCAACTCAGCTTATACCGACTGGTATTTCTAAAAGTCACCCACACTCTATTGCATGTGACAGAGCAACTACTTTTATTGATTATACTAGTAAAATTGCATTAAGACATTCATTGCAGCATATTTAGATATGTTTGTGTGCTTGTACAACACAGTTCTTAGTTGATATACAGTAGTTTGGAGTAGGTGCGAAGTCCTGGCCACAGACTAAGTTGTGTGTTGTGCAGTGCTGAGTAAGGACATATCGCAAGGCAAGCATTACATGAGCTGGCAATGTAATCAATCAAAATGACAGCCAGTCCAACCAGGGAACCAAACAGGAACTATGACAAGCTCTGTTTGGCCCCCGTATCGTCTTCATAGATTGAGCCTTAATAATGACAAGAACTGGTGACCTGGAGCACAATTGTTGTTTCTGTTACAGATGACCAGATATAAACACACACACACACAATTGGAGAGAGACACACACACACATATCAACTGACTGACAGCCTCTGCACAGGATCTGACACCATGTGATTGCTTCCATGGCAACCATTCTTCAATCCACTACTTCTGTGTGTCCCAGGAGTGAGGAGAGCACAGGCATTCCTGACTCGTCCTGATGCTTAGTGTGACTACGATCGGCTCACTGTCCTTAAGGCTTAATTAGCCGAGTTGGGAGCAGAAGAATGCTGCTCGTAATTGCTGAGTGAAGTACAGGCAGACCCCACTGGCAATTATACACAGTGGGTAGGTGACAAAACCTTCTTTAATTAGATCCTAACCAAACGGAGAGACAGAGGTAGAGTGGGACAGAATGGGGGGAAAAAGGAGGGAGGAGAGAAGAAAGAATAGAGTGTGGAGAATATAAGGGGAAAAGAATGAAAAGTTTGAGTGTGGCAGACAGTATGACAGCAAGAAATAAGGAAGACAGAAGTGACAGAAAAGATGATGCTGTGAAAAAATTGCCACACTAACAATGAGTGACTTGACAGAACTGCAAGGGAATTTCCCTAATGAGAGCGATTCTACACGACCTCCCTTACAGTGCGGTTGTGAAGGTTTTTTTTTAAAGTTTCGTCTTTTAATTAAAGTCACTTTTAATCCTTGTGTGGCTAATGAAGGCCTCAGAGCAAAATCATGTTGTATGGATGAAAACCATAAATCATGAATCATCATATCAGTCTATAAACATCCACTGGGAATTCAGTGTGTATACACAGGCAAGCATCATAAATAGTAAGTAGATTATCCAGGTTTGGTTAGTGATTAAGTATTGGACGCCACTGATGACACTGATGATGCACGATCCACACTGGATTACAGTTATAATGACTATGAGCTGAAAGCTCATGAAGGTTATGCTAATCCAAATTGATAGTATTTGCTACAAGCTACACAAAGCTAAAAGGATGCCACGGTATGTGTGTCCAAAACTGCGTTTGCGTGTGTCGAACCACCAATTTAGTCACTCTCTTTGTCAGTGTTTATGTATGTGCGTGTGCTTATATTGCTTACATTGGTAGGTTTATGTGTGTCTGGTTGAGTCACTGTATTTGAACAGGAAACACACTCCAAGTCTAACACATGCACATAACCCCTTAAAGGATATGCAGCAATCTCTCAACGCCAATCCAATAAACGTGACAGCTGGTCGAGAGGCGACGACATCGGTAATGTGAAGCCCGGAAGACAGGAGTAATGAGAGTACAGTAAATAAGCTCATACTGACAGCCGGGGGTTTTCATATGTCATCGGCGTGGAAACTTCAACCACAGTAATATTTTGAGGGTATTTTGGAAGCAAGACCCAGGGAATCAACTAAATACTCAATTTTGTATTGTAAAATGACAAAACATATAGCAGTCAATAGGAAAAACTGCTATTTGCAACACAGCATGTGATGATAAATTATTATTTTTTAAAAGGTTACACTGACTGCCAAGCTTTTCAGATTAAACATAGAGTACACCCACTCATACACCAGACAAACACACATATGCTGAAAATGACTGCTGACCCAACCTACCAAGAAGGGAAAAGCGTTAATTGAATGTCATGGGTCATTACATTGGAGTGCCTGTGTACAGGAGATTGAATTAGTCTGATATACTGACACAGAGCAGGCTTAGATAGAAGACAGGCCAACAGGAAATAAGACTGGAGAGCGCAAGCAGGGGACACAAGGTGGGCAGCTGGGAAAGAGAAAGTGGGTGAGAAAGTGAAAAAGAGGCAGAGATGGGAGTGGCAGCTGTTCTTACTCATATCTCAGACACACAGAGCAGCTTTACCGTTACATTTCCCTCTCTTCCATCGCTCCTGTAATTTTCTGTATTGCAAAAAAAAAAAACCTACATATGAATGTACTACGATCTCTTGTGCAGACACACTCTGAAGTACAGTGCACTGGCGGGTTTAAACATGACTATTCATCAGAACTGTGAAAGAAGCAGCAGTGGAGACAGAAACAGGCAGGGCAGCAACAAAAACACAGGTCCCAAGTCCTTATCACAGCCCTGACATGGGACCAGCTATCTCTGTTTACCCTTGTACTACCCTGAGAATGAAGCCAGGGCTGTCCAGCTTAATACGCCAACTCTCAGCCCGAGATAGACGAAAACAAATTCAAGCAAGAGCACATGTGCAGATGAACACAGGAGCACAGATAAAGATATACTGTACATATGCAAAGTACTCAATATTTCGGTTCCTCCTGCTGCACAATCTTACAGCAGTGCAATTTAACAAAGCAGCAAAAGGTGCTATCTCATGAGGCACCACAGCCAACGATTACTTTGCAACCTAATTTGGGTGTTTAAATTTAAAAATGTCTTCAAATGGCTTTAAATGTTAATAGTGTGCCTTTAAAGTTACTGGATTAAAAAAAAAAAAATCCAGCAGTTTTACAGGACTTTTTACTACACTTTTTTTTTCGTTTCAGGATTTAAATGCATTCACTAAGCAGCTTTGCCTCATTCAAATTAGAAGAGTTATTGTTGAAAGCCCATCAGGACCACAACTGTGATCGTTCTGCTTGTGTAGAGCCTCTGGCTTTACAGTGCTACAGTGAAGTGGATGC